GTAATATCCAACCAGTGCACTGTGTCACCTTTCTAAAATTCACAGATTCTGAATCGTGACATGCTTTTCCTTCAAGGGCTTTGGTTGAGAGATTGCAGAACTTTACTGAGTTGGTCACATTTATGAAATTCCCCGAGCTTTATAGGTCCAGATAGGGATTTGCCAGCGCTCTACCCTCTACCCCAGTCTGCTCTTCCTGATCAGTTCATTTTGATGACTCATCTGGCTTCCCATGCTAGACACTCCACCGTCTGCACGCCCTTCTCTCAGTCTAAGTCTCTGCTCTGAGAGTAAGTCTGGAGTCCAGCCCTGTTTGCTGCCCCACCACTGCTCTCCAAGTTTAGGGCCTGTGACCGCTCCCTGGCTCGTGGCCCAGCTGACCTCCTCTGGTCTCCGCCTGCCCTGGGCTGTCTTGCAGGCTGGCTCTTGGAGATTTCTTTAGTAAGGAAGCACATGTTTCTGACCCCTCGGTGGCCTGTGCTGACTCCATGGCCTTCACGTGGCCCACAGGCTAAGCCTGGTACCCAAGCCGTTCGCTTACAGGCCCTGCTTTTAACTCTCCCATCCTCTCCTGATGGCCAGCTCCAGACCTGTGGGCCGTGCCCATTAGCAGTCTGGCGTCTGGCCTGCAGGCTTCCTGCTGCCTGTGTGCTAACCACCCCCCGCCCCATGTTCATGCCTCTTTCCACTGCTTGGTTCAGTTGAAGAGTCACTTCCTCCAGACAGCCTTCCTGGACTCCGGTCCTGTGTCTGGGCCAGGCCTCTCGGTTTTTGGGCTCATCTCCGTAAACTGTAGTTCTGTACCTTTCCTCTGTATGTGTGTTACCACCACCTGATGGAAGAGAACCACTAGAACCATCAGTCATCTGAAGTGGTCCCCCTCATTCTCGTGAAACCCCATGCAAGCAGGGCCACGTCCCTCTTGTGCCCAGCACCCTGTGCGAGTCCTGCGGTCAGTAAATGTTTGAATTTTTCTGGATTTCTCTCTTTTGTTCTACCAGACTGTGAGTTTCTTAAGGGCCTAGAAAGGGTTGGTCTTTCGGTTCCATGGCACAGTTCCTGTCGCACAGGGAGCTCTGAGTACAGGGCGGGTGTTGCTGTTACCGTGCTCATGTGAGTAGTTTGAGAAGCCCGCATCTCGCCTGCACAGTCATCGGGGCAAGGAGCAGGTGCGTTGCTGTGTGCCACTGCTTGAAAAGATCTTCTACATGAATAACGCTGTTTCTCAGAAAGCAGGCACCCCACCCCAGTGGCCAGTACTCAGTCGGGGCCAGCTCTGTGTGGCGTCACCCCAGGCAAGCACACCGTCCTGCATTTAACCCTCACAGCGGCCCCCAGCAGGTGCGGGTGAGAAGTGGAGGTGTGGGAATTAGCCAAGTGCCCGAGGTCACAAGGCTAGGACCAGTGAGGAGGCAGTGCCCAGTCCCAGGGAGTGTGTGGAAACACTAACCGCGATGCAGCAGCCGGGACTCCCCCGGGGGGGCTTGGCTGAGGAGGTGGAGGACGTGAACTCCCCGTGAGAAAGGGAATGCGGGCCCCTGGCTCTCCTGACAGCTCGTGCCGTGAGCCAGGGACACTGTGAGCGGTCGTAGCTGTGTTTTCCCAATTCCCATGCCTTTCACTTTGACATCTGCAGTATGAGAACTCAGTCTCTGGAGCTCGGGACCAGCGTTCACGTCCTGGGTTTGCCACCTCCTAGCCAGGTAATTTGACGGAAGGGCTGATGCTTTCTTTCACCTTCCACATTTTTCTCATGAATAAAATGAGGGTGATGTTCTTGTTTGTGTGGTGACCTGCCTAAAATGCTTTATGGAGTATTACCAGTGTGAGGGATGGTCTCGTAAGAAAAGTCTGTCCCCACCTAGAGTGCTTGGTTGGCTTTTCAAAGTTCCCTAAGTCAGGGACCCACAGTGCAGAGGGTTGCTGATGTACTTCAGATGCCACTGAAATGTACATCTGAGGGTGTGTGCTTAGCATAAGAGATGATGCTGTGTGTAGCTTTTAATTGGTGAAATTGGATAACCTTCAAGATCTGTAGTTGATCAGAAAGTGTCTGGGCCTTGCCACCAGTGGCCCATTGGGGCCAGGTCGTGGTGCTCCATGCGACATCGGTGTGGGACTGTCGGTGGCCTGGCTCTGCCGTCAGACCGCCACAGTACCCTCCTCCAGCTGACCCTTTCCCAGGGGGTGCTTGTTAGAGGCCTGAGGACAGAGCACGAGAAGTTCTTACGTGGTTCTTTTTTCACATCAGCATGCTAATAAAGGTCATATGTTTGATGGAATTTGGCCTAAGGTTTGTTTTCTCCTGATTGCTTGGTGGCAAAGCTGTAGGCGACGTGGCTGTAGCAACCCCCGGGAAGCTGCCAGGGGCTGCCTGCCTCAAACAGGGTACTATATAATTGTCAGGGCCTGTTGCAAAATGAACATGCAGAATCCCTTGTTCAAAAATTAAGAATTTCAGGACTGTGACAGCGGAGCATTAAACCCAGCACGAGACCCTTCTAAGCACAGAGCCATTGTGATTACATAGGACATGATGCCTGTGAATGCCCTGCCCCAAATCTGACCATTATTGAGTGGTCTAAGTGGCACCAGTCACTCCCCAGCCTGCTGGGCTCGTCCTCTTAGGAGCCTTGCAAGGAGTAAATTAGAAATGTGTCCCATCGATAGATGAATGGATAAAGATGTGGTATATATACAGTGCAATATTATTCGGCCATTAAAAAAAGAATGAAATCTTGCCATTTGCAACATGGATGGATCTAGAGGGTATTATGCTTAAGTGAAAGAAAACAAAGACAAATACCAGGTGCTTTCACTTATATATAAACAGACTCATAAACAGAGAAACTAGTGGTTGCTGGGGCGGTGGGGGAAGGGCAGGCAAAATAGGTGGAGGGAATGAAGAGAGGGCTATAATGTCCAGTTACGAAATAAGTCAGACATGAAAAGGAGAGCATAGAGAATGTGGTCGATAGTATTGTAATAAGGTCACGTGGTGTGTACTGAGTAATGTGTAGAACTGTCGAATCAATGTGTTGTACCCCTGAAGCTGACATGGCATTGTATGTCAACTGTAATAATAAAAGTAAAAATAAGATTAAAAATGCCCCCTCCACAGGCGGGGCCAGTGAGTGCCAGATCTTGGTTCTGTGGGCGTGGTATCTGACACGAGAGGGTATCCGGTAAGCAGAAGTGCTCACAGGGACACAATGGAAGGGGCCCAGATCCTTCGTGGCATCACTGCACGCCTCGTGGGGCCTGTGTGTTCTGCCACCTGGGCCTGTCTGAGACCCAGCGGCCGCCGGAGGGCCGGTGTGTGCTGGGCTGGGGCGGGGTGATGTGCAAGTAGGCAGAGGTGGGAAGGGCGCCGTGGGCTGCGCAGCAGGCGGGGTGATGGCGTGAAGAGCCTGCTGTGCGCCTTCGCCCTCGTCGCTTGGGGAATCCGGGGAAAGAGCTTCGCCTGTGTGGTCAGTACGGTGCTTGCCGAGCACTGAAATAGGGTTGCTCCAAACTGAGCCGTGCCACCAGCGTGGACAGGACGCTGGGCTTCCCAGGCTTAGCGTGAAAAGCAAGAATGCAGACTGTCTCAGTAATTCGTGTATTGGTCATGTTAGAATAACGTGTGTATGTTGGGTTAAACGGTCTTAAAATTAATTTTACCTGCTGCTTTTGAATGTGGCTGCTGGAAAATGTCTCCTTACGGTTGAGTCGCACATGCAGTTGTAGACTAGGAAGGTGCACAGGGGTGAGTACCCCCTCTCTTACCCACATGGGCACTGACCGCTCTGCACACACCGCCTGCCCTGCTCCCAGGCTATGCCCTGGAGTAGAGGATGCCGCTGGGAGAGCGGATGAGAAGGTGCGCAGAGCTCCCAGGCTGGGTGTGTAGAATTTGTTCTTCGAGCACTGGGGGCTGTTGAGTGCTTTCTCGCAGTGGGGGTGACATGTTCACGGTGCGTTTGGGGACAGTTGGGGGAAGAGGTAGAGTAGGCAGGAAATGAATGCAGGACAAGAAATCAGGAAAGTAGTTAGACTGTTGCTGTCCTCCTAAATCAAAATCAGACAAACCGATATGTATTGATGAAATGCTTTCTCGTGAGGCTGAGGAAGAACACACAAATGTGTCGCCCTCCTCTTGCTGAAGCCGAATAATTAAGGTGAACAATTACCTTGTGGTCTGGATATACTTTCTGCCTTTGCTGATCCAGATGAGGCCCTGATTCTCACCTGGGTCCAAGCTTGCGCTCCCCCCCCCCCCCCCCAATCAAGTACTTTTCTCCCTGGAAACACACTTCCCCGTCAGGCACGTTCCAGAAGGAGGGGGGTGAGGTGGATTTGAGAGATATCAGCCCCAAAAGCTTCCTGGACAAAAGTCTTTAAACCTTAACTGAACACCAGCTTTTTGTGAAAATAATCAGGATGTTGAGGGTTTTTAATTTTTTTTTTTTAACTTCTTTCTGGAAGGTAACTGTTTTGTGTAAAAGAAAACACCTGCTGCTTCTCAGGCAGTTTCAAAGCACCGCCTGTGGTTTAAAAGTACAGAAATACGAGTGTGGTGTGAAGCATTTGCAGGCCGAATACGTGCAGGCTGGGGAGAGCGGATCGGGGAGTGTCCGTAGCGCCATGGGGTCTTGGGCTGCCTGCAGGTGCCGTGGGACAGGGCGGCCGAGAAGAGCCGCAGCTGTCTGCCCCTCTGGAGAGTTAGACTCACGTTTAGAGGATTGACAGTTTTCTTCTTGCCGAAGCTCAAAATCCAGATACCTACAGGACCGAAGGTAGTCCCAATGTCTTTCACCTGAACCGCCACCAAAAAAGCATCAATAATTGCTGATTTTAATTGCTCACATTGTTCTAAGAAAAACCACCTGCCCTTGTGTACAGAGCTGATTTATGATCCAGCTCCCAAGGATCCCTTCCTCCCCCTGAAGCCCATCAGATTTCTGGTTCAACAGGCTTTCTTTTTTTTTAATTAGGTCTACCGCATGTTGTTTTTGCAGGGCGAACCTTCCCGACACATCCGTACTTCTCGGCCCAGCTTGGGGCGGGGCAGCTGTCACTCTACAACATTCTGAAGGCCTACTCGCTTCTAGACCAGGAGGTGGGGTACTGCCAAGGCCTCAGCTTTGTAGCGGGCATCTTGCTGCTTCACATGGGTGAGGAGGAGGCATTTAACATGCTCAAGTTTCTGATGTTTGAAATGGGACTGCGGAAACAGTATCGGCCGGACATGATTATTTTACAGGTAGAGAACGTTCCTTTTGTATGTGCTAGAGACAAATGCCAAAAATGTTTAGGGTTCCTTTCCAGGTCTCTCTAAGGAACTTTTCCCACCATCCATCAACACTGGAGTAGCTATCCTTGCTGAGCACTTAACTCTGTGCTAGGCATGACGCCGAATGTTTCATATTGCTCTTACCGCCTCAGTAAGCCTCAGGAAGACACTGTTACTCAGCTCAATTTATAGATGGGAAGACTCACCTTAACTCAGGGAACCTGGCTAGCAAGTGGTCGAGTTGGGGTTTCAACCCAGGCCTGTCTGACTCCGACCCTTCCTTTACCCTTCTTCAAACCATCTTCAGACGATCTAATTCCTGCCTCCCACTCTATTTGTCACTTCCTCTGCCAGGGGTCCCCCTCCCACCCCCCCTTAGCCCTTGTCACCCAGGGTTCAGCCCACATATCAAATCCTGGGAGAGGATCTTTCTGACTATCCTGATATTGTGGGGCCCCCCCCAACCCTGTGCACGTGGATCATATTATCCTGTCTCATTTCTTTTGGCATAAAACACTAACTGCCTGAAATTATCTTGTTTCTTTATTCGTTGACCTGTTTACTCTCCTGTTTACTTTCCTTAGCATATCTCATGAGAAGGCAGGAATCTAACCTATCTTGGAGCTGCATCCTTAGTACCTAGAACAGCGCCTGGGATGAAGTAGGCACCCAGTCCGCATTTGTTGACGAACAGGTGGCAGGTCAGAGCAAAGGAAAACCAAAGGGCAGTGCCAGGCACTGCTCCTGCCACTTTCAGAGGTGGGGAGAGCTCCGGATCCCGCTTTGGGAATATTCCTAAATGTCAGATCGGGTGGATACATGTTAATTTACCAGCAAGCTACTCTGACTTCAGAGCCTTAGGATTTTTTTTTTTTTTTTTAAGAAAGGATGCATTAGAGCCAAGGACTCTTTGAGAGCACCAAATTGGGTGGTTAAAAAATCCTTTTACCTCCACCTGTGAATATGAACCCCCCCCATGAACATAAGTCTCCTAAAAGGAAGCCATTTCATTAACTAAAAAATTTTGACCCATGTAACACTTCCCACAGATACTGTCCCAGGTTGTTTCTATGTTCTCCCCATTAGCTTTAATATAGGTGCACCTGCCATCGAAGAGAGTGGAATTTTCAAGTTAATTTAGTATTGTAACACATGACTCTCTTGGTGCTTTTGGCCTGGGTGACTAGATTCTTTTCGATCCTAAAAAGCCACAGCTGGTACTTAAGGGCTATGTTGTCTGGGCCACTGGAAAAAGTTTTGGGGGGGTGTTGTGTGTGTGTGTTGTTTTGTTTTTTGTCAGTTTGGGTGATACATGTCCAACCTGTAGCATCTCAATGGGGTTCTGACCCTCTCTAGATGGTGGTATCTTTGGGCTCAGGCCATCGGACTGCCGAAACCCAGGCTGACTCTAGGACCCCTGCGAGCTGTGGGACCCATCGCAGGCTTCCTGCCAGGACCATAGCATTATCTGAAAAGGGGAGCCTTTGGAAGTTATTTTCTGCATCTTGAGATAAACAGTTGTCTTCTTATTTTAACTTGCCCAGGATCTGTATATTTCATATATTAATAAACCTAAAGAACCTGTCCTGCCTGTTGAGTAATTTCGGGGGTTCTAGAGCAAATTTACTAAGTGAATAGGTGTAATAGAATCCTTCCACAGAATCATCTTATGCCCCCACTTCACTCTTACATTTTGAATTCCCCCAGGTGCAGGTTTTGATAGGGATGTGTATTTTCTAAGAGAATATGTGAAACGTTCCCACAAGACAGATGCTTAGATTCTAGTAGCCAAGGAACTCAGGGAGCAGTGGAAAGAAAGGAAGCGGTAGGAGATGCCCCGACATCCTTGTTCTGGGCTCCCCAGGCCAGTACCTCTGTGCACCAGGCCCCCAGCAAGCGCTCGATGGGCAAGTGAGCGGTTGAGGTCAGTGGTTATCACACTCCAAGCAGAGTATCTAACAGTGTAATAATTCTTCTCTCACAGCATGTGAATGGGATAAGTAACTGAACACAGTAGCAGGTATCTGGTTCTGACACTGTGTGTGTCTGTTCCCGCAGATCCAGATGTACCAGCTCTCAAGGCTTCTTCACGATTACCACAGAGACCTCTACAATCACCTCGAGGAGCACGAAATCGGCCCCAGCCTCTACGCCGCGCCCTGGTTTCTCACCGTGTTTGCCTCCCAGTTCCCACTGGGATTTGTAGCCAGAGTCTTTGGTAAGTGGGTGTCCATCCGTTTGCCCAAACCAGCTTTCTCCTGTCAGGTAGGAAACATGTATTCTCGTTCCCTGGTGAGCATCCTTACTTTTATACCTGTATCTTCGACAAGAACAGGGTGGTGGTTGACATTCGGAGTCTAGTTGGCATTGGGTTTTGTGAACTTCACTTTCTCTGATTCTCAATGGCTTCCCTGGACACTGTCATCTGGTGGGGTTTAGACCCAATCCCTCACCACCAGGCTCTCCCCAGGGCAGAGATCTTTAAAGAGTTGGCCAGGGGGCCCCATGCATGTATTCCAGGCATGTATGTCTCATGAATTGTCTTCCTCCACCTCTCTGACGTGATGGCTCCTTCAAACTTCAACTGATGACTTCTGGGCTCCTGTTTTTTCTCGATTCCCTTCACATCTCTTCCCGTTTATCTTCTTCTCCTGCCCTTGGCTCTTCATTTCCTCTGCCAGCTCAGTCTGCAAGGACCCCCTCCATGCTGATGACTCACTCACTGGTCCACCCTTACAGGCCCCTGCCTCTTCTTCCCAGACGCCTCAGCCCCTTCCATGTGGGGGCTCACATTTCACGCCATCTCCTACTTTCTTGATTTACTTTTGGAGAAGATCGTCTCTGTCAAAGTCAAGCAGGTGTTCACGTGCAGTCTCAGTGGCCTTGAGATGGTGGGGGAAGCAGGTGCACTTGAGCTCCAGGAGCCGAGTGAGGCCAGGAGCACAGGTAGTTCTCCCACAGTGAGTTTCCCTACATCAGAGTGAAAGAATCATGTTGACAATTCAGGTTCTTTTTAATTTTTTTTTTTTTTACTATGGAAGTTATTAAAAAATTGATAATCATCACCCATCGAGTGTTTTTAAAGTGTCACTGATGTTCACTCACCTGATAGTTTAAAAATCTGCAATCTTCTCATACTTTTTTAGATTTGCTTCTGGAATTAGAGAACATCTCAAAGGGGGAGGGGGTGTCCAGAACCATTGAGAGAGCATTCCTTTGGCATGCTTGGGAAAGACAGCTTTGTAGATCCAAATTTTAGAAATCCTGAAATTTGCTTTTTAACATAGGTGGGCACTGAGTTGGTCTTCGCACCTCTTTCCCCTAGAGTACAAATTTTTTATTCTTATTCCTATCTGCAAGAACTTCTAAAGAATGTCCTGTTGGGCTTTACTAGAAGAGTCCGTGTTCTTAAAATATTCACTACCCCCACCCCTTTTTGCATAACTCCCTCCCCAAACTGATTCTTACTTTCTGTCCCTTAAAAAAAAAAGGCATTGGAAAAAGATACTAAAAAAATCTTTCCTGGTTAAATAAATCATTAGTGAGATTTCATGAAGGTTTTATACCATAGTTTAAAAAGAAGGTAATTGGGGCGCCTGGGTGGCTCACTTGGTTAAGCATCTGCCTTCGGCTCAGGTCATGATTCCAGGGTCCTGGGATGGAGCTGCCTGCTCAGCGGGGAGCCTGCTTCTCCCACTTCCTCTGCCCCTCCCCCTGTTTGTGCTCTCGCTCTCTCAAGTAAATAAAATCTTTAAACAAATATTTAAAAAAAAGATAATTGGGGCGCCTGGGTGGCTCAGTTGGTTAAGCGACTGCCTTCGGCTCAGGTCATGATCCTGGAGTCCCGGGATCGAGTCCTGCATCGGGCTCCCTGCTCGGCAGGGAGTCTGCTTCTCCCTCTGACCTTCCTCCCTCTCATGCTCTCTGTCTCTCATTCTCTCTCTCTCAAATAAATAAATAAAATCTTAAAAAAAAAAAAAAGATAATTAAAAGCCTGAAAATTATCTGCTTAGTTTACTAACAGAAGAGTCACCAAAATCATAAGATCTCTAGCTGTCAGCTAGAAGTCTTTCTTGCCAAAAATGTCTGTGTTTTTTTTTACTTTTCTTACTCTGGAAATTGAAAATCATTAGTCCACTTTTTCTCCTGATTTTTTACTGTATTTTTCAAAACAGGATAACAGGAGTGAGGATTGAAAGAGGTGGGTGGGAAGGGGGGGGTGGTGTTCATGCTTTGAAAACAGCTCAAGCATCGAATTACAGCATTTGTGAGAAAAATTCTGCAAAGGGGACTCCGATGAGAGGGTCAGCACTGAGGGATGGCCGCCTGGGCCTTTGGCTGCTGCCTTGCAGGTCGCTCTGGGGACACCAGGGCCATAGAACTCTGGGAGAGTTGCATAAGTAAGAACTCTGCTTTGGAGATTGACAGCCCTCCTGTTAGAGAATATTCGAAACTCTAAAGCTCATTCTGCCGACTTCATAAATTAAAAGCTAAAGCCAGCAAGAGCAGGCTATTTCTATTATGTAATCAGTGGTGAGTCTTGGAGGCTCTCCTACATTGTGCATAAAGATGCCAGTGTGTGTAACTCCGGGGTCCTGTGCACAGACCCCTGCTGTACTAAGTGGGTCCTTATCCAGCTGGCTGAGACTCCTCAGATTGTAGGCAGGAAGTGGGAACTCAAGGCAGCACTGTGTGTGATGTCATTTTGCAAAAACTGTTGGTTTTTGTTTTTCTGCACAGTTTATTCCATCTGCGAGGACTTAAAACCAAACCATTTTATTAGCAGGTTCCATAGAAAGGTTTTTTAAAAACCATTTCTGCATTTAGCATTGGTGACTTGAACTGTGTTTGTTAAGCTCCATGATGGTGGATAGCTTAGTTTTAAATCCCCAAACCTGCCATTCATACACTGTAGTCTATTTGGGCCTGAAGCCCATTTCATTGTAAGCCTTTAGGCCTGAATAAACCCTAAAAACAAACGGACCTTTGTCAGCTGTTCACCATTTCGTATGGAAGTGCAGGATTCTCAGCTTGCAGACAGCATAACTCATATATTAATTAACAGGTTACTTCGCATTAAGTATATGCTCCTTGGAGGAACACCAGCCAGTGATGCTTGCACCTTAACCTTCCCATGGTGATCACACTTCCGGAATATCAGCCCTCCTGTTCGGGTGTCACAGGATGTAAAATAGCCTTCTCCTGTATGTCTTCAGTTCGGGTGGAGAGGGGTCCTGGGAGAGATGCTTGCTCTGTTCACCTTCAGATCACACCTACCTTTGGGGGGAAAAAAAATCTGAAAAATAGGCCCTGGCTTGTTCCTGATGGAGGAGGCGGCTGTGGTCTGAGGCTCCTGATGTTTGCTAGAGGATGTGCTGCCAAGTGGATGAGGGAGGAGGTGGAGTGTAGAAAGGAAGGGTTTGGCAGAAAACACAGAAGCCACCTGTAATACTGGGAAGGATTCAGAGAGGCTTTAGGACTAAAATAGACTTGAGAAAACAAGATGGTTTAAACCGCCAGGAAAAAAAGGCTCCCCCAGGGAACGTGATCCAGTGGCAGGGAAGTGAGTTTGTGCAAGCCCTGTTTGTGCTGTGGTCCTGCTGCAGATCTTCGAGCATCCTTCGTGTTCCTCCCACGTGGTCCTGGTAGGAAGGGGGCGCTCTCACACCCAGAGCACCCCAGCCTCCCAGGAGAGAGTTAGGAGAGGGCTTGCCCTTGGAAAGCGACAAAGGTGGCTGGAAAAGAGGATGCAGGATAATTTCATTTCACTGGCCTTGTGCTTTGCATAGATGGTCCCCCGCCCCCCACCTACAGTCCCGTTCCCCACCCCCCCAGGAAAACTGCACCTTTAGGTCATGGGCATTTCCAGCAGAGTTCCGATAGGTTAACACAATAACAGAACAACAGGGCTGCCGAAGTGTCTTCAAAGGAAAGTGGTTATTTGCATTGTTCTCAGCAAATAATTTGCAAAAGTGGCCGAGTCAGCTGAATTTCAGGTTCCCCTTACTTCCTGCCTGATAAAACCCTTTGCCTGTTTCTGGGTGGCTTGAAGCAGGAGGGAAGGGAAGTTGGCTGCAGTGTGGGGAGCAGGGCTTCTGGGGGCCGCCATTTATTTCCAGAATGTAAATGTATAAGGATTGGAAGATGGACAAAAATGAAAATAATTGGGTTGGAGCAGTGAGTTTATAGGTAACATTTTTCTCTGCAATTCCTTAATTATTTAAGTTTTTAAATTTCCAGAGTGAGAAAAAGGTCGTCATTGTTTAAGGGTTATAGATATTGCCCCCAAGGCTAGTCAGATAAATTCAGGAGTCCCTGCTTCCAAGCAAAATTTTGGCGGGCAGGGGGGTGGGGGAGGTCCTTCCTTTAAGCCTTCTGGCACATTCCTTCATCATTACCCGAAATGAGCTCCTTATTTGAGGCCTCCCCAGGCTGACTGGCTTCTGGGGCCCAGCTCCCCCAGCCGGACTCGTGTGGCCGGCCGGCTTGCCTTCAGGAGGGTAGGCACCTGGAGTGGGCCTCCAGCAGCTCTAGGCGAGCATCTTGTGGCAGGCAGCAGGACCCCCTGAGTCTGCGGGTGGGAGTCAGGTGGTCTCATCTGTGGTGGCTTTTCTCTATCTAAAGCTAAATAGCCTTGGCAAGGAGCAGACTCCGACTGGGTCTCGTTAATATCATCTCCTTACCAGCGCACTGACCTACTCCGGAAAAAAGGGGACAGGAAGTCTTGGCTGACCCCTGCTGTGCTCTGGGTAAAGTTAGAATGCTGATGTCTGGACAGAAAGCCCTTGATGACCCGCCCCCACCTGCTGCCCCACAGAGCCAGTGGCTGGGCTTCTAGTCCGGGGCTTGCTGCTCTCACCCCTCTGGGCATTTACACCTCCTTTTCCCCCTCTTTCCTTCCTAACTCCTGACCTCGCAAGTTTCTTTTGCTTCTTCAAGATTGGGTTTGGCAGCCACCTTTCCTTAGAATTTTTTCCATCCCTTTTGTTCTCCTAACACCTGGGCATAACTCTACCAAACCAACAGCTTTTGGTGTCTCTGCAATTTGCTGTTTGTGCTTTCGTTCATGGCTTGATCTCTGGTACCTAGTACAAAGCCTGGCATATATTAGATGCTCAGTGAATGCTTGCTGACTTAAATGAGAGAAACTTCTCAGCAGATAGAAGAGTGCTCTTAAGGTGCTGGGAATAGCATTAGGAAAGAACATTTGTATTATATTAAATACAGACAGAACCAATGAGACAAATATATCCAGGGCTATATATTCAAAGAGTATAAAAACAAAAACAAAAAAGACCCCACCACCTCTCCCAACTTTTTTTTTTTTTTCATACGGCCCAGAAAAGTCAGAGTTTAGAATGCTAGGGAGCACTCCGCTAGTAGATTTGTTACAAAAACCAAGATCCTGGGGCATCTGGGTGGCTCAGTCAGTTAAGCGTTCGACTCTTGATGTCAGCTCAGGTCGTGATCTCAGGGTTCTGAGATGGAGCCCATGTCTGGCTTCATGCTGGGTGTGGAGCCTGCTTAAATAAGATTCTCCCTCCCTCTGCCCCTCCTACCCCCCCTCTCTAAAACAACAGCAACAACAAAACCACCAATAAAACGTGAAAGACCTGTTGTCTGCCTTAAGAGATTGCTGATATGGGGCGCCTGGGTGGCTCAGTTGGTTAAGCAACTGCCTTCGGCTCAGGTCATGATCCCGGAGTCCCGGGATCGAGTCCCGCATCGGGCTCCCTGCTCGGCGGGGGGTCTGCTTCCCCCTCTGCCCTCTTCCCTCTCGTGCTCTCTGTCTCTCATTCTCTCTCTCTCTCAAATAAATAAATAAAATCTTTAAAAAAAAAAAAGAGATTGCTGATATGGATTGCATATTTGATTGTGCTCATAAAACTTCCCCAATAATTATTTCTCTTACTTGGCTTAGATGTGGCACTCTGTCTAGTTACTAGTACATGTCTCTCAGAGACTAAAGACACTGAGCTGTCGCAGTTGGGCTGGTCTTGAAGTCCTCTCCCAGGACCCTTGCACAGAAGCCTTGGTATTCTGATTGATACCATCTATATTTGTTCAGCTATAAAAGTTGATCTACTGAAAGGAAGTCTTGCTGTCTAAACCCAGAAGCTTCAAGTTTGTTTTGGGAAATACTTCTTTTTAAAAACACATCTTTGTTATAGTGCTGTTTGAGATCTTTTGTATTTTCTGTAGTGATGAATTACATGGGTTAGACTGTGTATTTCATAAAGCAGACATTTCACAAGAATATTCTTATAGAGGGCTGTCTTGATACACATAGTACTTCCCCGAAGCTCAGATTACAAAGATACGACTAGTTCTCTAACTCATCTTCCCAGCCTCTGCAGCCACACCTAAGAAGGAGGCCGCCCTCCTCTTTTCAGCTTCCTGGGGCCTTTCCAGCGTCGTGGGGCCGTCCGAACTGTGAGCACTTGTGACATTTGTGGAAACAGTGTGGCCCTGAGCTCTGTGAAAGAGATGGGTCGACAACCCACTCTGGCACCAGGTCTGCTGGTGTGGCTGAGGCCCTGAGCATCCCCAGGGCTGACCCGGCCAGTCGGCGCCGAGGCCTGCCCTGTGCACAGCCCACATAACACTCCGACGCGGATACCTTCCCCTTCCCCATGTTAGCAGCTTCCAGCCTTTCTTGCTGCTTTTTTTTCTTTTTTTTTTTTAAAGATTTTATTTATTTATTTGACCTAGAGAGACACAGTGAGAGAGGGAACACAAGCAGGGGGAGTGGGAGAGGGAGAAGCAGGCTTCCCACCGAGCAGGGAGCCCGATGCGGGACTTGATCCCGGGACCCTGGGATCACGACCTGAGCCGAAGGCAGACACCTAACAACTGAGCCACCCAGGCGCCCCGAGCCTTTCCTGTTTCTTGATGGCTCCTCTGCCTTGTCACGCTAAACCACCTAGAGAAGTCCAATGCTGGGGGGATTCTTCCTCTCACCTGCTTTTGTCTTCCAGAACTTGATGAACTGGACCACTACTTTGTGTCTCTCATTATCCCTGCAGCCCCCCAGCCCCCATATTGACAGTTGCCTCTAATTAGATTTATGCCCTCATCTTTAAAATGATATTTTTTTCTTGTATTTTTAATTCCAGTTAGGTTACTTGCCTGAATTTAGTCATCAAACAATTAGTTGCTAGGGGTGTGCTTTGGCCCCAGGGCGATTTGACTCTTTGTCAAGTGGCTTAAGCTCTGTGAGGAAGGGGGAGCCAGGGGCGAGGCTGGCTGCTCACCCCGTTGCCTGGGCCACTTGCCCTCCCTCTCAGCACGTCCAGTCAGTGTAGGGGTTGCTAACACTGGCCAACTATTGGAAGAAAAAACTATGGCAAGAACTAGAAAATAACTCTGATGGAGTTCTTTTTATTTCTCTGAAGGAAGATGGGTTTTACTACATTATGCTAAAATCCAGCATACTGGCAAGTATTTAATAATGTACTTTTGCAACTCTGTAGACATTTTATAGATTTTAGAGATCTTTTAGTTCCTTCTTTCAAAACGGGAAAGAGGTGCAGTTTTTTTATCTTAATTTCTGATGCTGTGTATCTAAACATGTTTCAGTTTTACTCATAAAAATGTGTTTTAGGAACTCTTTTAAAACCCCAGAGCATTTCTAGAAAAATAGTGTAATAAAAAGTTTTCTTTTAACTTTTGAAGCATGTTAAGAGTTTAATATATTTTTAGAACAATAACAAAGATTGAACCTGTGACAATAGCTTAGCAGTACGTTTATCTGTATTTCTTTTACTATTTGCAATATTGTCTTGACAACCTTATCTGAAATATCAGGCACTTAAAAAGGAAATAAAGTTTGCAATTTGGGCTTACAGTTCCCCACCATCCTGCTCTGATGTGTGGACAAGAAAACACAATGTTACTTCATCGGAAACTAGTCTGGTTTAACTTTCTGCATTTCTGTGTTTTCCCAGATATGATCTTTCTTCAGGGATCAGAGGTCATATTTAAAGTGGCATTAAGTCTGTTGGGAAGCCATAAGCCCTTGATTCTGCAACATGAAAACCTAGAAACCATAGTTGACTTTATAAAAAACACCCTTCCCAACCTGGGCTTGGTGCAAATGGAAAAGACCATCAGTCAGGTATGCTTCAGTCCGACCTTCCAAAGGCTTACGCCCTCCTGGATTTGGAGAGCTTAATTTTCTTTTGATCGGGACCTGCCTCCTACCACTTGGTATCGTGGGCAGCATCTCGTGTGTTGCCCGGCAGGTAGGAAGCATATGGCCAAATACATGTTCAGTGACTTAAGTGCATGTCCGAGCGCGCGTATGTTGGGAATGTGATGGGGCTGTGTCACGTGTGAACAAGGGGGCAGTGGTCAGTGCTGACAACCAGCACAGGTTATCGGTAGTTGCTTATAGTTAAGGGGCTTCACCCTAGTTGTTTGTTCTTCTGAAACACATGTGCTATTCAGTGTAGGCTCTTACAGTAGGAGTGCTTTGGTATTTTTTCTGCTATGTGCTATTATTTGGAATTTTCCAAAAATAACCCTTTGATAGCAAAATCGTGATAGTATATATTCTAGAGATTTGTTTCATGATGTGTTTTGTTTTTGTTTTTTTTAATAGAATTCACTTCCACATCTGTGGCTTGAGCACCTCTGGTTTCTGTAGCCAGTAGAACTGTTTCTCTCAAATGTGAGGGGCAAGGGTGAATTGAGCCAGAATTACAACTAGATCAGTTGTTCAATGGTCTGGTTTAGGGGTGAGAGCAGATTTTGACTCTGTATAAAGAAGAGTCTTCTAGTAATGTTTGCTGACTCTGAAGGACTGAGCTATTTATTTAGTAGAGGGTGGATCACCACTGCAAGTGTCCAGGGGCTGGATGGCTGAGAATGCGCTGGAAGGGATTTCTGCATCGGGACCAGCAATCAGGCCCCTCCTAAGCCTAGAATTTACCTCACCTGCTCCCAGTGCAATGCAAGCATAGAGCAGTTAGGTAAAAACTAGTAGTGAAACAGAGCTAATTTTTAAACAAACCCTTATTCTGAGGACTTCTGACAGTCCAACAGGAATCCAGTGATTCTGGCGGACTGCACCCAGATGCGGTGTTTCTGGTTTTATTTGCTACCCCTCCTTCAGTGTGGAGCACAGAGAAAGAAGCAGATGTGGCCTGGGGAGGGGAGCCGGTGTGAGCCCAGGTGACTCTGGATCTCCGCACATTTCCTACGCCCGTCCTTCGAAAGGGCACTGCTTTTCCACTCTGCACTTTCATTTTTAGTGAATTGATGCATCTCTCTGTATTTTGCTTCCCTGGCACGTTTCTCTCAATGTGAATAGCTTTGGCTTGTTCACGCCCTACTTTCTGCCAGGTTCTGTGTGAATCTACATATGCACAGGATCTCATTTCATCATGACCGCATTCCTGAGAGGATAGGTGGTTTTAACCCATGAGGGGCATAGGGCGCAAAGAGGCAAACTCACTGGCCCTCGGTCACCCTGCTGCCGAGGGGAGCGGTGGGGCTTCTCTTGCCTCAGAGTGACTTAGCAGCTTCTCAACACCACCACGCGCCTCCGGGCATCATTTAATTACAAAGGTTTTTCTGTATTTCACCTGTATGTTAATACTGAATTCTCTGCCCTTTTGATTCTTTAATTTTTGGCATTTATGTGCACTGATTCCCTTTTAGAGCTTTCACTGCATATACTTATATTTTATGGCCCCTGGGGCAAACGCAGAGAGCCTTGGTTACCTCACGTCTGTGCCCAGGGGGTGCCTCGACCTGGCTCCTGGCTCTAAGGTGGGCAGTCTCACCTGACATTCAGTTTACCTCCTGGATATTGAGCCCCAGAAAAGAATCCCATTTTCTCCTCCCTTTTCTGTGAAGAATACTTATTCACAGTATCAGGTTCTCTTTAAATGTTGGAGGAATAGAAATGGACACAGCATGGAGAGAGTTTTGTGTGTGTGCACCTGATTTGTTTCAGGCAACTGTCTTGAGCTTGGGATCCTTTATTCCACTGACTGCTTAAAATCCTGGGGTGTGTATTATAATCCCCATTTTTATAGGTGGGGAAACTGGTCATGGATAGAGTAACATGCCCAACACCCTGTGTGCGATGGGAGAGCCAAGAATGTAATGTGTCTCTGACACTGGAGCCCCTCCTGTGCAGAGAATGCGCATGGAATCCAGTAATTGCAAATGTGGTAAGAGCCACAGTGGTGCCCATGCAAGGGCATACGGGAGCCAGGCTGGTGGAGTGCACACTGCTGATTGGGAATTGGGACAGTTGAATTCAGCTGGGCCTGAGGAATGAGCTAAGAACGGGTCAGCAGACGTTTTCTGCAGTGGGCCAGATAGTAAGTCTTTCAGGCTCTGTGGGCCAGAAGGTCTCTGTTGTAGTCACTCTACTCTGCCTTTGCAGCCAAAGGGCAACCAGTAATACGTACATGAATGAAGTGACTGTGTTGCAGTAAAATTTTATTTACAAAAACCTACAGTGGGTCAGATTCAGTCCACAGGGGGCACTCTGCTGATTCCTAATCACAGGCATGGGAGTGAGAATTGAGAGAAATTCTAGATGCCTTAGCATTGAACTTTGAAGGGAAGGGTGGTTGTGGATTGGGAGCAGCAGTGTGGGGAACACAAAAATCTACATTTTGGGGCCCAGGTTTTCATCCTACCAAGAGTCTTGATGGGAAGCCCAGCTCTCTACCCTCTTGCCCTCCCATGCTTTCCATCTGGAACTTGACATCTGTCAGGCTCACTGCCCCCTCCCCACCTAGAGGGTGCTCTAGTTTCAGGTCCCACTAGGAGATGAGGCCTGAGGTACAGTGCGACTCCTTGGCAGCCTGAGAGGGCCCCCAGGCTCAAGTCTTGGAGGTCCACAGGGTGCAAGTGACAGAGCATTCACTGCACCTGACAGAGCATACTGTCTTGTATGTGAAAGTCTCAGTGGGCTTCTTTGATCGTTATGGCTCCATTTCATTCGCTGACTTTTCTGTGGATGGCCTCAGCTTGAGCAGTGGGGACATAGCCTGCATCCAGGAAGGGAGAGAGGGAGCTAGGATAGGGCTCCGCGGCTTTGGTTCAGTATGGGCAGGTCCAGAGTTGACAGAGCCCAGGGCAGAAGGAGAAGGGTCTCTGAAGTCTCTGTGGCAGGTCCTCAGTTTAACTGTCAGTTGATTATGAGCCATAAAAATCCTCTGACCCAACAAGGGGGAAAACCCTGGGAATAAACAGAAACCAAGAGGAGGAGGTCAGGTTTGTGCTTGTCACAGCCAGTGCTGTCTGCGTCTGTCGGCTCATTTCAGTGTAAGGAAGGAAACAAAGGTGGAGGGGACTTTGGGAGACAGGGCAAAGAGCCGGTTGTCAACATCCTTGGGGCAGAATTCAGAGTGTGGCCCCAGACCCACACCTGTCCTTGTACCCTGTAGGAACTTGTCAGAAATGCAGAATCTGGGGCCTCGCCCCAGGCCTGCTGAGTCAGAATCTGCATTTTAACAAGAGCCCCAGGGGATTCACACACACACACACACACAGGAACATTTGAAAAGCTCTGCTATGGGCAGCTTCATTGAACACACTAGACAATTCCCTGTTCTAGTTGAGCTTGTAGGATAGAAACCAGAATCTTAACAAGGTTCCTTTGTTCAGGAGCCGCTCCTCAAATCCCCAGTGTTGGGACGGCCTCTTCTGCGCGGGGAGGAGCCCTCGCGGCTCAGGCAGTTTTGGGCAGCTTGCTGGGCTGAAAACAAGGGATTTTTCCAGAGGCCAATCAGGGCCGTTCCAAAAGGGTGGGGAACAGTGAGGAGGAATATCTTACCACTGGGATTGTTTAGAATTGCTTGCATGTGGTGATCATAAAAAACAGACCAGTTTTTAGTTGGGTTTCTAATTTTTAAATTCACTACAGGCACTGTAGCCCCTGGTGGCCGATCCCCAGGCACCCTGCTCAACTCATTGAGATGGACAGATGGGGGCGGGGGGTGGGGGGCAAGGCCTGGAGGCTGGGAAGGTGGAAAGTATGTGGCCAAGTCTGCAGACGTCAGGGTTAATGCTTCATTACATAGAGTGTCCACAGACTGCAAAGACGAACTCACTGGGTCTCCAATAGCAAATGAGCCAAGAACATAAACAGACAATTCACTGAAAAGGAGATCCATCTAATAAACAAATATCTGGGAAAATATTTAGCTTCATGCATAATTTAAATAACATACAATGCTCTACCTACTAGATTAACAAAATGAAACATATTAAGGCTGGTACCCAGTGCCAAGGGTAGACTATCTGGCACATTGGTGTGTTGTTAATGGCATTGTGCATCGATTATTCCCATTTGGGAGGCAATTTGGCGATGTGTATCACAAGCCAGTAAAATATTCATACCCTTTGACTCAGTAATCCCATTTCTTGGAATGTATCCGTAGGAAATAATCCAAAATATGGGAAAAGCCATATGTACGAGGATGTTTAGAGTTGTCATTTATAACTACAGAAACTTTACAAGTAACTAGATGTCCAGCACTTGATGAATGGATTAACAGGGTTATGCCATGTCAAGTAGGTAGGATAATGAAGCCATTTGTAATTATGCTCATGTAGAATATATACAGCAACTCGAAAAAGCCTTGTTTGAGGACCTGGGCTCTCCTTTCTCTGCCAGCCACATACTTCCATGCTTTGGGATCAATTCTAGGGCATAACTGCAAAATCAAGGGCTCTAAGTATTTTAGCAGCCAGGAGATAATGATGCAATTAAGCAGCGATGATTATGACCCAGGATGGTTCCTGGGAATTAATGGAGCCCTGAAAGAGTGCATAGCTTTGTGCACAGCTGAGAGCCATTAACCTTAGCAGGTCATCAATCTGTATTAAAGGCCACAGGTTTTGTTCCCAGGTTTTCCAGATTAGTAGCTCATTTAAAAATAAATCTCCATGGAAGAAAAGAAGTAACTATACATTTATTCTGCATGATATTTATAATTATACACCGGTGCCATGGCAGTCTCGGTTTTAATGTTTGCGGTTTTTGCTCTGTTTGAGCTCTTCAGAGGTTCCATGGTGTGGCATCCTTTGTAATTTTGCTGAAGCGCAAGGTTGGATGTGAGGGTTTCATGACAAGCGTGTGGAAGCAGCTTCCTTAGCTAAGTGGGCACCTACTCACCTTGCCAGGTGTGTGCTGGGAACTCCCACGAGTCGCTTCACGTAATTCTCACAGCGATGCTGGAGGTGCGTGCTCTCACCCCGTGTCAAGGGCCAGCAACCGAGGCCGGGAGAAGTCAAGTAACTTGCTCAAGGTCATTCAGGGTGTCGCCAGGGGAGCCCTGATTTGAGGGCTGAGTCCGTTTTCTTGACTGTACTATAGAGATGATGATCCCTGCTGACCTCACAGTCACTTTGAGGGACAACAGAGAATTGCCTATCAATATGGCAAACTTTCACACTCACGCACACCACAATACAATGTGTAGTATTTTGGCATAGAATGACTTTTGTGCCTAATTGGTCTTGTCCATTGAATTAAATTGAAAAGCAGGAAGCTGAAAAATTAATCTCCAGGCAGAGAAGTTTGTTGGGAATGGTGAGAAAGTAAACATGGTTTTTGAAATATCGATTTCAGGGAAGATAGGATTCATCCATGTTTGAATGCTAATAGGGCGCTGTCGGGGAAAATGAGGTTTTCATTGATTTTCACTACGCTGGAATTTCTTTCTTAAGGAAAGACCGTGAAGAGTTCCTTTGTGCTCTTGAAAGGTCTAACTTCATCCTCTAAATGTGTTTTCTGTGATGCTGGCCTTGTTTCTACGGAGCCAGCATGACCGAAGGCTCAGACCCACACGCAGAGCCTCTCTGGGACTTCAGTCCTGTGCTCAGAGCCACAGCCTGTGGGGCGATCCCCCAGAAACAGCTGCGGAGAGAGGCTGCGGCCGCGCCTGACCCCCTCTTCGGCGCAGCTCCCACCCAGCTCACTCAGAGAAAGTACAAACACGAACAGCGCACTTGTGCACGTCGGGGCTGTTTTTCACGCGGGTGGTTTTTTGATCACTGTTACTATTATGAGCAGGAAGGCATTGTTTCATGTTCACTCATCTGTGTGGGCGACATTTGGGTTTTGGCTCATTTCTGCATATCTTATGTGCAAATGAGGGTTTTTTAGTAAACAGTTCCCTTACTTAGCTGTTCTTGTAACTCTAAAAACCCAAGTGAACTATAATTAAACTTTGACTTGGTGACTGGGCAAATAGGGCTGTGATTCTGTTGTTTTGTTTTTTTCCTTTCTCTTTGACCCACAGCTGATGTGTCTGACATAATAGAATTTTCAGAGAAAAAGGAAATCTGTACAGAAATAAGAACTAAAAATAAATTTTTATAAAAAGCCTTTTAAAAAGTAAGGTTTGGGCTTTTGGAAAATGAGTTATCAGAGACCCGTCCCTATTGCTACCTTGGGTTTAGTTCTCAGTGCTTCTTTTGTTCTTTCTTCCCAAGTAGAATTGCTACCTTTTCCATGCAGGGAGTTTTCCTTATTTCTCCCTGATAGTACCAGGCCCGGAGTAGGTGCTTAGGGGATGCTTGCTGACATGGCCGCGTACGCGTATGTGTGATTTTCTCATTTTCAGTGCCTGATGACTTTTCTGTATGTAGCAGGTGTTTGAGATGGATATCTCTAAACAATTACAAGCCTATGAAGTTGAGTACCACGTGCTTCAAGAAGAACTTATCGATTCCTCTCCTCTCAGTGACAACCAAAGAATGGACAAATTAGAGAAGACCAACAGCAGCTTGCGCAAACAGAACCTTGACCTCCTTGAACAGCTGCAGGTAGAGCATATTTATAAAGCTGCTTCCTGAGCCCCGAGCGTGTGGTAGATCATTAGCGCACCAAACCACCGGCAGGCTGGGTTTTCCCATGACTGAGGGACCTCTCCCCACCTCCCCTCTCCCTGGTCTGTTTATAGTTGGGATCAAAGGTATCCCAGGAGAACTGCTCCTTTTTATTAGGGAGCAGACAGATTATCCTTTGCTGAGGTCAGACAGTCCTGGAACTTTTTGAGAGGCTGTCTCTGCACTTAACCCTTTTAGGAGAGAGGCCCAGCAATGAACTGGGTCCAGGATGCCTAGGGGCTGTTCGCCGAATGCCAGCAATTGTGCTTTGAGTAATAATGAGAGAATCAAAGGCTTGGGTTTCTGTGAGCGAAACCAGCTAGGTCCATGGAGGGATGTTAGGGGAGGGGAGTAACACAGAGATCTACCTAACAGAGCAAACCAGAGCATATGGTCAAGATTGTTGAGTCCTTACTACAAATAACAAAAGTTTGATTAATGAGGGACATAGTTCTCCCCTCTAGAAGCTTCCATTTTAACATGGATAAATGTGGATGAGGACATGTGGTAGAAATGCAAACAGACCGTGCATACAGAACGGTGACGTGGGGGTAAGCCTGGGGATGCAGCTCTCGTCAGATCCAGCGTTGTGTCCACCCACACTGTTGCACTGGGCAGACTGCTGACCTGCCCTGTCCTGAGTCCCTCGTCTGTGCGACACACAGTTCCTAACTGCTGAGCACAGCTCCTTTCCCAATCACGTAGAATAACGTAATGATACGGTCTACTTTCTTTATGTCATGAATGGGTGGTGATGCTGTTAATGTTAAGGAATTGTTCTGAGGGATTTAAAAAACTTTTTGAGTTGCTGCAAAGACAAATACATATTTGGCCCCAAAGTATGTATTTTATGGTGTTCCTGGGCTGTCCTTAGAATAAGCCTTCCATCCTGACCTATGCATCTTTGTTTTCTCCATAGAAAGTTGCTGCTTTGCAGACACAAGCTTGGCTGTGATATGAGAAAGGCCAGCATTTGAGAGTTTAATAAATCAACCTTGTCCAAAATGCATTCCTCCCAGCAGGGATTTGTCCCAGGAGACCTACTGGCTATTTACTGTAGAGGAACAAAGAAAAATGCTTTTGATGCCCAGTCCTAACCACCAGGCACATTCTGAAATTTAGCTTTTTTTTTTTTTCCCTACGACTGAGGTGTCCTAACTGAAAATATGCTTGTGTACAGTATCTCCAGGATGTCTTGGCTGCACCCCGAAGGGGAGGCTCGCAAGGATAAAGAGCCTTATCTGGCCTGTAACGGTCTGCAGTGGAGGTGGTAATTTTAAGTGACTTCCAAACAAAGTAGGTCTCTGAAATAGAACCTGATAGGAACGTTTCTGACAAAGCTTGGACTTACATTTGGCGCGTGAAGATAGGCAGTATGGAAATGGAAGGTTCCGTTTATTGGGCTAATGCCCGTGTGCTTTTTTTGTGGTAAAGGGTGCAGGTAATTTAGTGGCGCTTCTGTGATGCTGTACCCCTTTCATGACGAGAGAGGCTGTGAGAAGCTGCTCAGATCTCGAAATTGCTCAAGAAAGGCACCAGCGGTAATGGGTCGCGACTGACAGCCTCCTGGGAATGGTCTCCCTCACCGAGCGGCTGTGGTCCTGCGAGGGACCGTTCAAGGCTGCAGCTGTGCCAGCCCACCAGTGTTTGGAGCCCCGCCCTGCCGGGCGCCAGGGCCGCTGAGGTTCGGGAGACACTGCTTCTGTCCAGGCCTTGGGGCGGGGATCACGTCGTGTCAGTTTGCAGGTGCTTGAAGATCGTTTTCCCATTTCCGTCCGTGAGTCACGTGGGTTTACTGTCTTGCAGCCAGACTCTATATATTCTGTAAGACTCACACCTCCTTTCCTTTTTTCTTTTTTTTTTTTAACAGTTTTCAGAGTCCAAGGATAGGTGTTAAATATAATAGTTTTCCCCAAAGTATCAAAATTGACCGTTTTCTAGCTTTGTTCTGTTCCTGTTAGTTGTCAGACAGGCACCAAGGTCCCATTAATTTTCTGGTTAAACACTTAATGTTATCTAGCAGCTGGAGAGCAAAGTGTCGCCTGTTTTGTCCAGCCGCACACAGAAGATGATTCCATATACCTACCAAATGGTGCCAGATAATAAGGGACATACATTTTTTATAATAAGCAACTGTGAGTCACCCAGTGCCATTGAACTAGGTGCTGCGGGAGGCCCAACCCGTGTACAGGATGAGACGTGCTTTTTCCGTGAGAGCGCTTCAGTCTCGTTGAGGAGAGGGACAGTCCTGCAGAGCCACTCACCACGAAGCTGGGTGGCACGAGCAGTCCTCCGTGGGGGGCGGTGGACCGGTCCCAGGCCTCGAGCCTGGGTAGGAGTGTGAGGATCACAGAGCACCCCTTGCAGGTGCACACTCAGCGTGAGCGCCCCTGCCTGGTGAGCACGCAGACTTGGGAGCTCAGTCCTTTCTTCCTTCTATTTTGAGTGTTCCAGCCGGCACAGCGGAGCTAGACTTTGAGTCGTGAGGTGTCTGTCTGGCACAAGTGTTGTCTTGTTCAAGAACCTGTTTCCCGTGTTTCGAAAATGAGAGACAGAAAAAAACACATGTACCACTTGCCCCACCGCACGTAAGCGGGCACGTGTGCAGAGCTGCACGCATCAGCGAGATGGAGCGGCGGAGACCGTGCGCGGGGGGCCCTTCGCAGACGCTGCCCGGCCCCGCTCGTGCTCCCGGGGTGCCCGTACTCCTTGAGGTGGTGGGGCCTGGTTACCGTAGGAAGACAGGCCTCTGGAGCAGAGGGCCGGTACCCGGTACTGCTGGGGCCTTCCCCTGGGGAGGAACCGTCTGCCTCTCGGTCTGACATCGGTCTGTACGTACGAGCGTGTTTGTACGACTGGGCCAGGCTGTGCTGCAGTGACACATAAGGCTCCAAGTCTCAGCGGCGTGGCCCGGCTGCAGTCGCTTTGTCCCTGAAGCTGTTCTTGAAGCATTCTTGGCCCGGATCAGAGCTGGCTTCGCTGTCGTGGGGGCCGGGGGCCGGCTCCCTTTGCACTGTGAAGCCACCAACCATCTCAGAGTAGCCGCAGCAGGGAGGAAGTCCCTGCCTTCCTGCGGGGGAGCCTGGGAAATGTAGTCTTCCTGTGTGGCCGGAGACTGATGCTAAGCCGGCTTGTCTCTGCCACAGTAGGGCTCCAAAGTGTCTCCAGGGCTGGACGGTGGAGTGTAGGGGGGGATGCCCCCCACCCGCCCCTGTGTTCTCACTCGCTGTTCACATTCTCTTCGTTTATTCTCCAGGTGGCAAATGGTAGGATCCAGAGCCTGGAAGCCACCGTTGAGAAGCTTCTGGCCAGTGAGAGCAAGCTGAAGCAGGCCACCCTTGCCTTGGAGCTGGAGCGATCAGCCCTGCTGCAGACGGTGCAGGAGCTCCGGGGGCAGATGACAGCAGAGCCGCGCGGGCCGGAGCCTGACCTCACGGGACCCGGGCCCACGGGCGACTGACGGCGGAGGAGACGGCTCCGGGGGAGACTCGGCGGCCCCGTCCTAGCACTGTCCAGGCCTTAACTGAGAGGGACAGAGGATGCCAGAGGAGGAGAACAAGGCATGACGCGTGCTTCTCAGGGAGGACGCTGGCTTGCCAGCATGCAGACTTCGGAACTAGAACTTGCAAGTCATGGGGACGGAGGTCCCAGTGTTTTTGTTGTTGTTTAGGTTGCAGTTCGCCCCTTCTTTAGGCCCTCTCACTGTACCAATAGGTTTAGGTGGCATGGATGTGAATAAACGCACCTTCATGTTTCCTTGTGGTTTCCTTCTTCAGCAGCACTGTGCTTGCAAAGGTCAGTTAGTCCTGTGGAAGTGCAAGGGCCGGGAGGGCTCTAGATGAGTCCTCTGGCCAGATGTGGGTCCATTGCTCTTCCACGGCGGGTTTGTGGGACCACATCCGCTGGTCCCCAGCAGGCCATGCAGCCTGCCCCTGTCTGTTTTGGCCACGGAAGCCCCAGAGAACCATTAGGACATCTTGAATTTAGCACTCTCCTGGGTATTTACTGAAGTTTGTCTTTTTTAAAAAAATAGTTTTCATTTTTTACTTGGTCCTTAAGTATCAATCAAAGTCATTGTAGATAAATGTTTTATGGGTGAATCACCAGTTTTTAGGCTCAAACCAAGTGTTGCTAGTGAGCGACCTGCATTTTTAGACTCTGAGATGTTTATTTCTTTGTGGGTTTTCGTCACCCTCTTAGAGCCGGGTATTTCTTTTTGCTGTTGTGTGATGCAAAGCAGCTGTGAGTCCCTTTGAGTGTCCACCCTCGGGAGTTGTGTTCCCTACGGAAGTAGCCAGGTGCATCAGGATTGTCATGGGTCATGGGTGCCAGAGATCCTGACTTTGGAAAAAGCCATCAGCCTGAAATCGCAATCAGATAGATGGCAGTTGAGCGCAGTTTTTCAGAGCTGGGAAGTGTGTTCTGAACATTACTCACACCACGGAGACCCCTTCCCTCGGGAGGATGAGAACCCTGGGCCTTCAACAAGCAGAGAGCCGCTGGTGGCTGGCGTGGCCTCGTCGGGGCCCCGGTGAGGCCTCTGCACGAGCGCTCTCCGGATGGGCCCTTTCTGACAGCAGGATCGCTCTGGCCTTCGTCATGGTAGTCCACCCTAGTCCACAGGGCCTTCTTGTGACCCTCTCAGCAGTAGGCATCTCTTTCAGCCTGAGGTCAAAGGAAGGATTTTCACACTGGAAGTCGTCGCAGGTCTCCCCAGACATGTCCAAGGGTGACAAACGCGCTCTCCCCGGTGCCTCACGGTTGGCCAACATCTGGGGCTCTCCTGGACCCCGTGTCGGAGGGTAGCGGTTCTCCTCACGAATCAAGATGACCAGTGCAGTAGCCTCCATCCCGAGTTGTTCCACCAGATAGAGGAGTTAACATTTGAGGGCTTCTTTCCACCTATTTTGCTGTTTGAATGTTTAATAATGTTGAATTTTGGACATCTTATTACCATTACTCAGAAAACATGGACTCTGCATTAAATAATAAATGAGACAGCAATAAATCTGTGCCCACACTTTTATGGTGTCTGTTTTACTTGTAAACTTCGGATTTTTGCTTTTCAGCCCAGGTAAGGGAATGCCTCATGAGCACCAGTGGGTCAGAGTGTGAATATTCCCTAACCAGCAGTGAAGTCGTTTGAGGTATTGGCACCTTGTATTTCCAGTATTGTTACCCAAGTGCTAGTTACACTGTAGCACCTCGGCAGGCAGGAGGGTGAGTCTCGCGCCGCATCAGGTGCAGGGGGCTGGTGCTGGGAGGTCGCACAAGCCTGCAGATACAGGTCAGACAGAGGCTCAGCCTGTGTGGGACTTAGCCAGGGAAAGAAACATCCAGAGAGCCAATGCACATGACTGTGTGAGGAATTGCAGAGGAAGATTCTTAAGCCGAATAAATGTCATGTTCTGTTTTTCTCCAGCATCCAGCTGTATGCACCTGCACACACGTGTGCACTTGAAGGTTGTCTTTGATGCCATTTATGTTCTCTTAGACTTAGGACATTATGAGCCCTCAGGAAGCACACTATTACATACACATATTTTTAAATTGTGTAATACATATGTGACCTATAAAATAAAACTCAGTGCTATGTAGTAACATCCAGTCCCCTCTTAGGAGTTAGGTATGGATAGCATGACTGTGTCCAGTGTTTGGTTTGGTTGGTGAATCAGGGGAGAAGAGTTGTTCCGAGTGCTATGGGGATTGGACCAAACAGGGCTGTGTGTGTCAGGAGCTGGGGAAATGAGGTTGCGGAGGAAGGTACTTGAGTCAAGAGGAGTCACCAGTCGGTCCATCTGGGAAGCAGAACACATTCGGATGCCAGAGTGGGCCTGGGCAAGGTGGCGTGCAAGGAGCTCAGTGGGAAGCTGTTGCTGCCATATCGTGACCACCTCTGTGATTCTACAGCCAGGTGTCCGGTGGTGGGCCTGGGGCCACTCCAGGTCAATATGAAGATCAACACTTGAGAAGAAGAGGAGAAGGACGATAAGCTGGAGCCTGCCAGGCGCCTCTGTCTGTCGCTTTTGACTACCATGACCTTCAGAGAAAAATGGCTCTTGCTTCACTTTTGCCTTCCAGATCTCACACAAGCATGTCTTTGAACCATGTCTGACTTAGAACCACCAGGGGAGGGGACTCTGGCAAAGGTAGTTCTGGCTTAACCAGGTTGGCATGGTACAAACTACTGTACTTAATTTTGGAAACTGCCTGGCCCTCCATCCAAGTATCTGTGGTCAGAGCTCCGTAGCGTTCAGATTCATGGATTGATTTTGACTTTGAAAATCACTGATGGTGCAGTCGGTACTGGAGGCGAGAGTGTGACAGCATCCAGGACCGCCGCCCCCTTCCTGTGCTCGCCTCTGTCAGGTGTCACCAAATGTTTTGCAGATTAAGATCTAGAAACTCTATGTGGTAAAAATAATTTACAGGCCACATTGTCTTTACGTTGATTCTACTTTCGGGGTTTGTAATGACTCAAAATAATCTTGGACTGGGAAAGCTGCAGGGAACCTTCTATTTCCTACTAGGAAAACCTACTAGAAAACCTCATTTGATAGAGGAAAACACTGAGTGAGATGATGAGATGTTCAAGATCACCTAATGGTTAGCTACAGGATCAGAGTTAGATCCCCAGTCTCTGACTGCCTAAGAGTCCACACCACCCACCTTTAATTCCCGTGATTTTCGGAAATCATTTCTGGTGACCTCAAGCACGATGCAGAGCAACGAAGGTCTGCTTCATTCTCACAAGGATGATCTGTGTCAGTAGGAAGCCCAGATCAGATTCTCTCCTACATCTCAGGGGCCTTGAGTTAAAGCCAAGGGGGGTGGGGCGCTCTCCAGCTCACTCCTATCTGTGGACAAGGACGTGGAGGAATCCTACCTCACCAGGGTCTAAATTAGGTACAGTGTTTGCTGCTGATAATTGTTTCTTTTTTACCTTGAGACTGAAAACCCTTGCACTGTAATGTTTTTAAAACAACACAGAATTCCCTTTGGTTTTACAGAAGCGAAACTTTCCATTTATGTCAAGTTTTTTGCTGCCATCTTTGGAAAAGATTAGCATGATTAGGGAAGTGGAAGAGCTATGGAGCAACCACAACAGTTGTTCTTTGGACAATTTGACACTGATAAAAGATGAGGAACAATATTCTTGTATCCAGGCTTCATAGTATCTGCCTTTATGTCTCTGAACTGAATAACCAACCATTTTGGTTGTGAACTCTTATTAGCAAACTTTGAATTTATACCACTCTGTGCATATTAAAACACCTTGTACATGAGTAAGTTTTATCAGGAAATGGAAAATCTAAATGAGTTGAAACAAAATAGTTTAAAAATATTGATTAAAATGTTGATCTCCTATGGGTTTTTTTAAGATTTTATTTATTTGAGAGCAAGCACGAGTGTGCACATGAGATGGGGGGAGGGGCAGACTCCCCATTGAGCGCGAGCCTCGGACGTTCAGTGGGATCCCAGGACCCTGAGATCATGACCGGAGCTGAAGGCAGAAGCTTAACTGACTGCACCACCCAGGTGCCCCTCTAGTGTTTCTAAGGAGAACAATGAACCCCTGATCATTTTAAAAACATTTTTAAGACAGTGACACAATAATACAGATGTCAGTTCCCAAGGTCAGCCTAGTTTGATTGTTGGTTTTAATGCTGGAAAAAGATGGCTTCCACATTCTAAACGGAGGAAGGGCACTGCTGGTCATTAATTCACTTTTATTCAACAATTATGCACAGGTGTTTGTTGAAATCCAGCTAGTAAATTTCCATCTTCTCTCATGGCTGACTAATAATGCAAACTAACCGAAACATGCTACAGTTTTATGTTTTATGTTTTTTGTTTTTTTTTTAACCAAGGACTTTAAAGCACTCAAACTCTTCATTTGGAAAGTTTTGAGCAAGTTATAAAAGCATCTCCAAGACTGAGCAACGTTTACATGTTTCTTGGCCAAGAGATGACCTAAGCACAGCAACACTTCCAAACCTCTTTTCTGAAAAGCTCTTTCCACAGGACTTCGCAGTCTTGTCTTGGGCTCCCCCAGTTGGAGCCCTCTGCTCTCGGTTATGGGGCAGGGGTGGACTAGGTTCTAGGCTGTGGCTCTGTGTCTGCCCGCGTCCTGCTGCAGATTCACGGTCTCACTGCCCGCCTCTGCCCGGCCGTGGTCCTCTGCCCCCGCCACAGTCCCCTGTCCCCGCTGCAGTCCCCTGGGGGAGCCAGATAGCCTGTCGGAGAGCAGAGAGGAGCTGGATGGCTCGCATGTTAAAAATATAGCGCCTGTGATTCACTGCACTTTATTGCTGCGGTGCCCTTTGCTCAGAACCAGGGAGATAGCCTGGACTATCTGACCCTGGACCGGGGGGTGGGGGGGGACCAACGTTGTCACATTGTTTCTCCCAGATTCAGCGGCTTTTCCTCAGCCTTCTGGCTATGTCCTGCCATTGTTTTTGCCTTGTTCCATATGCAGATCTGTCGACCAATTTGGGGGTATCTTCTTCCTGCTCTTCTAGGCATTTCTTTCTAAAACTCTGTGTTTCTCATTTCTTCCAACTGTAGGCAAAGCTGAATGGTTACTGTTAGGCTCTGGCTGTGGTTGTCAGCCCCCTGCAGGGTGACTTCCTGGGTCCCATCTTGAGGAATCTGCAGATGGTGAAGTAGCACATTAGGGAAGTAGAGGCAAGCTTGCTTGAGGTGGGCGGGGAGGGGTCCATCTAATGACATCAAATTTCTGCCCACCTCAGGCCTTCCTGTACTTTCTACCAAGCATGGCACGATCCATTTTCCTTCCTTTGAGGTACATGGCAGTCACTTTACTCCTAATTTCATATGCTCAAATTATCTAAATGGCTGGGTTATTAGAAAGGACAAAGTGAACTTTTTCACTCAGGATCCTTCGCTTTCCCCCTTCTGCTTCTGTGATCATTCCTAAGATCACTATCACCTGCTGTCTTCCCATAATGAAGAATTGGACCGGCCCGCCTCTCGGGCCCTAACTCTGCAGCCTCTGATACCCCGTTTGCTTGCCTGCCTGCTTTCACTCTGTCCAGCAAATGGTTGCGGTGCCCCCTCCTCTGAACCAATCCCTGATGGAGGTCCTGGGACTATAAGGTAAGTGTCTGCCATCACTGAGCTTTTGTTTAGCAGGGGAGATAGGTAATTGAAACAAATCAACCAGGGGGTGGGGGCTCCCTGCATAGAGTGGTCTGAGAAAGCTCAGCTCAGGAGCTGGTATTCAAGATGAGAGCCCAAGAATAAGAAAAAGCAGCAGCTGAGGAGGAGTTTGGTGAGTGTTCTGGGCAGCTTGATGTTGGAAGAGTACTTTCCAAATGATGCATAATTCTATGCTAACCTTGACTCTTGTACCAAGAGACCTCTTTTTAAAAGTCCCAATCCAGGGGCATCTGGGTGGCTCAGTTAGTTAAGCGCCTGACTTTAGTTCATGATCTCAGGGTCCTGGGATAGAGCCCCACTGAGCAGGGAGTCTGCTTGTCCCTCTCCCTTTGCCCCTCCCCCTGCTCATGCCGTCTCTCAATCTTTTTTTAAAAATCCCAATGCACTTTTTAAATTTTATTTTATTTATTTATTTGACAGAGAGAGAGAGCACAAGCAGGGGGAGCACCTGCAGAGGGAGTGGGAGAAGCAGGCTTCCTGCTGAGCAAGGAGCCCAACGCAGGGCTCGATCCCAGGACCCTCGATCATGACCTGAGCCAAAGGCAGACGCTTAATCAATGCAGCCACCCAGGCGCCCCTCCAATGCACTTTTAACACTATGTCTTTTTCAGATGGCAAGGAAATGCCACTATTTTTCAAGATAAAACTCCCATTACTGTATAGTCTGTAAATATAAATGATAAAATATTTGTCTCATCCACTGGCTATTTCAACTGGTCCAAGGGAATCTGCTGTTCTCGACTTTGCGTCGAGCTACAGGGAGGAATGAGTAGGTGAAATGACATTGTGATGGGCACCGGACAGGGAGTGACCTGGTTGTTTGGGTCTGTGTGGGTCTCACGGCACACGGCCATATCAGCTCCATGTTTCCCCTTCCATTTCAGCAAGGGGAAACCAGCAGGGAGGAGATGTTCCTTAGGTTAGGCGTGACTTCATGGCCTTAGAGCCCAAGAGAGAAGATGGGTCAAGAGACTGTGAAACTCTGCAAGTAAATCCAGACTGCTCACATCCCATTCTGGGGTACTGAAGAAACGTGAGCAAAGAGTCGCTCAGTTGCTGTGAATATTCTCTTGGAATGAGTTGAGAATGGTGGAAGAGGTCCTGCAAACAGGAATGTAGAAATCACTAAAGAATTATAAAGCTAGCCAAAATTCCCAATTTTTTTTTTTTTTAGATAAGGGAGGAAGTGGATGGTGTAAACGATGGTTTGTTGAGACCTGTGAGGCTCCTGACTGTGTGGATCATGAGAATATTCTTGCAGACATTCCTGGAATCTTCTTCAAGTGTCTTCTTCGAGAAGCCCTGGGGCTTCCAGGGTACTTCTCTTGAGCTATATTTGTGTTTAATTAATCCAATGTCAGCGGTGCAATTGAATATTGCATTGACATTTCCAGAACACTCAAAGCCAAATCGGTGACCCTTCAGGCGCCTGGGTGGCTCAGTTGTTAAGCGTCTGCCTTCTGCTCAGGTTGTGATCCCAGGGTCCTGGGATCAAGCCCCGCATCGGGCTCCCTGCTCAGTGGGAAGCCTGCTTCCCCCTCTCCCACTCCCCCTGCTTGTGTTCCCTCTCTCGCTGTATCTGTCTCTGTCAAATGAATAAAAAAATAAAATCTTTAAATCGGTGACCCTTCAGTTAACAAACGTGCAAGCATTTTGCTCTGACCCATGACTCATTTTGACCCTTGCTGTTCTTACTTTACTGCAGTGATTTCATGCTTTCTCCTATTTTTAATATCTTTGAAAGTCGCCGTAAAGCATTTGAGGAACAAGATGGAGCCTGGCAAATACAAATAGAAGCAACATCTAGTGGCTAGCACAGGCACTGGAGTCAGCCGGATTCAACTCTGGCTCCCTGTCCATAAAATAGAAACCGAAATAGCCATTTCGTAGGATTATTTGAATATTTATAAAGAGCACTGAGCACCATCACTGAGACAAAGTTAAGCAATGAATGTTAGCTATCATTACATTATGATGATATAAACAAAGCGTATCCAACTCTGTGGGCTTGACATTGGCCCCAGGCAAAATTCCTCAACAAATTCTAACCATAGTTAAAAGGTGATCTTTAAAAACTAGTATGATTCCGGGCGCCTGGGTGGCTCAGTTGGTTAAGCGACTGCCTTCGGCTCAGGTCATGATCCTGGAGTCCCGGGATCGAGTCCCGCATCGGGCTCCCTGCTCAGCGGGGAGCCTGCTTCTTTCTCTGACCCTCTTCCCTCTCATGCTGTCTCTCATTCTCTCTCTCAAATAAATAAATAAAATAAGTAAATAAAAATCTTAAAAAAAAAAAAAACTAGTATGATTCCCTAAGGCCAATAGAATTTTATGTTTTTGAAAGTGGGATGACCAAAAAGAAGATGGAAAGCTGTAGGAACACATACCTTGATATCAGCAAAGCTTGTAACCATGTAGATCAATAACTTAAAGCTTACTTATTAAAGCTTAAATAAATCAGTTACATGGACAGAGGACAGTTCGGTGGGGCTGATTCAACAGATGAAACCAGGAGGACCTCTAGATGGTAGTTTTCAGCCCCGGTTGGAATCACCTGGAGGGATCTTTGTTTTCAAGTACCAGTGCCTGTGGGTAGCCCAGGCTGGTAAACTCAGGCTCTCTGGGGTGGGGCCTGGACATTGTGTTTTGTTTAGATCTTGTTTTTTTTCAGCTCCCCTCTGGTTTTAAAGCTTGACCAAATTTGAGAAGCCCTGCTGTAATTATATGGCTTGAAGGGAGCCTACACGCTAGGGGTTTAATCATCTGACCGGGATTTTGTCCTTAGCCAGCCCCATCCGTGCTTGTAATGGTGACCTACTGAAGGACGTAGGGTGCGTACCCCACAGATGCACGGATGCCACAAAGCGAATGCAATGAATGACGTGACAGACGGTGATTGAGGGTGACGAGCTGGACGCATGACCTGATTTGGGCAGAATGCACTTTTTTAAATGTTGGGTTCTGAATCCATGTGTCGGGCAGTGGGTCCCAGAGTGTAATCCCCAGACCAATAGCATCAGCGTCATCTGAGAACTTGTTAAAAATATAAATTTGCTGGCTCTACCCCTAGAATGTGGAGCTGGCAATCTTTTTGAAAAGTCTTCTGGGGAATTCGGGTGCCTGCTAAAGCTTGAGAACCGCTTGTTTTGTGTGTGTGTGCGGGGAGCGGGGCGTGGAATCCCAATGGCCAAATACCGAGTGGAAGACAGCTGTGTTAGCAACAACACTGTGAGGAGAATCGCCTTATTAGTGACCTACTATCTTTATCTCTTTAGTATTGATCTTCTCCCATTGCTCTGAAGACCTTTGTGGACTGTGCCACTGACTTCTCTCTTTGGACCTCATTCATGGTATGGATCTGTTCATCGAAAATCTAAATAATTCCAGAGACTGTTAAATAGTGAGAAACGCAGAGTGTAGGATATGACGATATAATCGCTAAAAGAACGGCCACCGGGTGCCAGGCGCTGTGATGAGCCCCATAGATGATATGAACTCTTGGAGGGAAGGCAAGTCAGGATTTGATCCCTTGCAGCTGTGGAGTGACGGCCGTTGTGGTTTCATAGCCAGGGCTTAAGGGTGGGCTTGGTTAACTGCCAGTGTTTTCGGTAGGTCACTGGGTGCGCCGTGTGCCTGAGGAGATTTTGGATAATTAGTAAAGAAGATTAAGAACGACTGATCACCAGGATTTAAAATTTTAACCCCCCCCCTCCCTCATTCCATCCCATTCTCTGAAAAGGGGCAGATGAGGGGGAGAAGAAAAACCTGCCAACACATTGGAGGGAACGGAAGAAGGCAAAAGTCGGGAGGGACCCTGCAAGGCCGACAGCTGGCCTTGTTCCAGGGAACGCTGCGGGCCACGGCCCTGTCCAGGCCACGTGGGAACAGGGTGCAGAGGGTGAATATGCACCTGGGGCAGTGGACCCCAAACACTGCCCCCTCCTCCAGCTCCTGGAGACCTTGCAGGTAGCTCATCCACCAGGGGAGGCACAGGCCAGAGAGACCCAGACTACCTGTGGGGCTTTTTCTGGAGAGTGAATTGCTTCCAAGAAAGTTGCCTGCAGGAACTGTCCTGTCTCAAGGCCCATTTCTCAACTGAATGTGGGAGGAGCAGTCTCACTCCAACGAAATGCCCAGAACAGACTTCTGTGGCCGTGACCAGACTTCGCGGCTTTTCACTGTGTCCTGGACTTGGAGGGCTCCAGGAAGCAGGGTCTCAGTGTTCCGAGGCACGCCATTTTGGATGTTGCTCCTCTTGGAGATTAAACACATGTTAGCATGTGTTAAGGATACTAAGTCCTGTAGTAGACGTGATATTGTGATTTATAATAAGAAACATACTTGTTCTTTATCCCAGTTCCTGGCACAGAGCTCCTAAAACCATTGGAAGTTCCTGTGGTGAGAGCAATAAAGGTATCATTTGTGAGGTTAATGAGGTGACTTTTGGAAAGCGCCTGGAGGCTGGTTGCCAGTGGATCCAACCACATGATTAGAGGGTTGGAACTTTAGGTCCTACCCCCTGACTTCCTAGGAGGGAAGAGGCCTCCTCCCCATGTTGAATCAGTCACCAATGGCCAATGATTTCATCAATCATGCCAATGAAAGGAAGCCTCTATAAAAACCCAAAAGGACAGGGTTCAGAGAGCTCCTGGTTTGGCGAACACGTGGAGATGCTGGAAGAGTCCATGCCCAGAGAGAACGTGGGAGCTCCACACCCTCTCCCCATACCTTACCCATCTCTCCTACCTGGCTGATCCTGGGTTATATATAGCCTTTTATAATAAACCAGTAGTAAGCAGACTTAAACTGGTTGCCTGGGTTCTGTGAGCAAATTAGCTGACTCCAGGGAAGGGGTCATGAGGACTTTGATCTGTAGCCAGTTGTTATCGGCATCCGAAGTGGGAAGGAGGAGGTGGGGGGATAGTCTTGTAGGACCGAGCCCACCACCTGTGGGATCTGACACCATCTCCAGGTGGACAGTGAACAAACTGAGTTGAATTGCAGGCCGCCCAGCTGGTGTCTGAGTTGCTCGGTGGGGTGGAAAAGCTCCCACACCGGAGTTGGTCTCAGAACTACAGTAAAGAGACCTAGTGTCCACTTTTCCAACGGGGTCTTTCTAAAACATTCTTCCACATGATTGTTACACACACATGGTAAAAACACACCACAGAAACATACAAAGTGAAAGCCAAGTTCTCCAAAGCCCCCTCTCCCCACGTGCTACAACCCGAAGGTAATCACCCTTACTAAGTATATCAGCTCTTCTTCCAAAAATTGATATGCATCTCACAGGAAACACCCATGTGTGTGTTTGTGGAAGCCTTTTGGGTTGTAAAAAACTGGGGGACAGGCGGGCTGCGTGCCCCTGTCTTCCAGTGGGTAGAGGGCAGAGACGCTGCTGAAAACAGACCCCCCCCACAAGGGGTTACAGACCCAGAGCCGACACGGCTGATCCTGAGAAACGCTGCTCTAGGAGAGCGGTTTTGAAGCCTGACTGCATCAGAATCCCCCGGAGGTTTATTAGACCAGATTGCTGGGCCCCACCCCCGAAGTTTCCAATTCAGTAGGTCTGGAGTGGGGCCCCACAATCTGCATTTCTACAAGTTTCCAGGGGATGCCGATGTTGCGGGTCCAGGACCACACTTCCCAAACCTCTGCCTGGGACCTTCCCTGGGGTGGGGGTGGGGGGGCTTCCCCTTGTCCTCCTGGACCAGGTGGGCTCCCCGGCGCCTGCTCGTGGTGCCACCAGAAGGCAGGGACAAGAGCCAACACTGCTCACCCTGTGAGCACCGAACCAAGAAGTAGCAGTAGCAGAAATGGTTTCCACTCATGGCCCCGTCGACAAGAACCCGACAGATGAGCCGCACCCGGTCGCACCAGCGGCAGGAAGACGGGATTTCCAGCACCGTGTTCGTGAGCCCCGAAAAGGCAGCAGGGGATTTTATTACTAAAAGGAAGGAGAGAGGATGGTTATGGAGGACGGTTTGCTGAAAGGCGCTCTGCGATCTGCACCCCACCCCTGCTTCGTGTCCCCTCCCTTCCCACCTCTCCCCCTCACTTGCTGGTCCTTAGATGCACCCGGCTCTCTGCTCCGTTGCCCGCACACTCTTGGGCCTTCGCCTTGCTATTCCCTCTGCTTTCGAAGCTCCTCGCCCAGACGGTCGCTTGGCTTGTGCTCACTTCATTCTGGTCTCAGCTCAAATGTTCCTCCTCCGAGTGGCCGCCCCCACCACCCCAGCGGGGAGCCCCCACCCCATCCGCCCCTGTGGTCTTTCTCCCTTTCCCCTGCTCCCCTGCCCGCGTCACTCAGTGCTGCATAGCTGTTTGCTTCTCTATTTGTCCCCGACCCAGGAAAGCAGAGGTCCGTGAGGGCAACGCCGGTCTTCGCTCTTAGGAACAGCTCCCGACACAGAAGAAGCTCTCAAATCTTTGCTGAACAAGTGCAACCTTCCATGTTTGATAGGCACGGCCAGATTGCTCTTCAAATAGATTGGTGTTTCAGTTTTAAATTTGTGAGCCCGTGCAACCCTCATTAATTTGGAATATGTTCTTTGGGCTTCTTGTCCTCGATGTTTTTTGCGAATAGTGGCCCTGAAATATTCATCACGGGTTCCTCTGCCTCAGCGCTGGGGCGGCCTCAGCTCCCCAGGTCTGGAAGCTACACTTCCCAGCTGGGGTATGAGCCAGAAGAAACAAAGTGGGCTGGCAGCAAATCTTCCTAACTAGGCAACACTGTTTCTCAAAGGAACATGTGATAGTCACACCCATTTAATGTAAGAGCCCAATCAAGGGAGAGGCATTGATCCAGCTGACTTAGCCCGCATCAGAAAAATCATCCCCTATCTAAACTATCTTGATTTACAAGATTCTTAATGGCTCAAAAGTGCTGTATCAGCTTAAGCAGATCAAGGAAAATAAACATTTCATAACTGTGATAATATAAGCGCCTCCAGACACAGAACAGCTCAGCCCCGATGGATGGTTCTTATAAATAAACCAGGCAATAGCACACTACAGAAATAACTAGAATTTCTGTGACTTCATGGGGAGCCAAATGGAAATGCCCTTGCCAAGTGAATGCTAAAGTCATCGCATAGTCAAAATATGGTCAGGCGCTAGATGGGAGCCAGACGTTTTGCTCCAATGAGAGACCCCTTCTCAAGTGGGACCCAGTTCACTTGAGCCCTCAAATGGAATTTTTAGGCTTTGCGTTTAGGGAAAGGGACGCACGACAACGAAATGAGTTCTTCTAAAGGGTCTGGTTAAAACCAAACAGAAACGAAATGCCAGCAGCAGGCCTGGCACCAGCTCTGACTCAGCGGCTTCTGTGTTCTGCCTCGACGGCCCATGCCATCTGGATTCACAGTGCCTCGCAGCCCACCAGGGTCCTGTGTGATTAAAAACAGGCCAGGCACTGGTCCATGAGACAGAGATTTTCAGCACCACTGGTTAAAATAAAAACAGTTTCCTGTTAATCAGAAGAGGCCAGTTATCGGAAGAACCCCATTTCCTCAGCATGTTAATTTTTGAGATTTTATGGTGATAAGAAGAAAGCAAATTATTTTTCAAGGGAGTCTGCTATAGCAATTTCTCTGGGAAATTATGTTTTCTGGGACAAGGTGTCCATGTAGGTTTTTTCAGATGGGCATAGGAGTATCCCAGGCAAAACCAAGGGAGCACCCCCCCACCTTTGCCCACTGGCTCAGTTCTGGGGTAACTGCCCCCCAGACTGCCCCTGTAACATTCCCTGGAGTATAGGTGGTGATTTTTCTTACTCCCCAGATTCCAGATCCTCTCAGTAACTAGCTTGGCAGTCTGCATGATGGGCAGTCAAAGGAGGGGAGCGAATGCGTCAGAAAGCCAGGCCAACCCGAGGTTCGGGAAGGCCCCTGGCGGGTGGGGACCTATGCAAACCCGTGGGTCGTCACCTCCGTGGCTTCAGGACTAGCAGGCACCAGCCACAAAGTCCCATCTTGGCCCGATCCAGAATCTTCTAGAAAGTTCTAGCATTTTCTGCACCAAGCAGGGATCATAATCCTGGGGTTGCTGCTACGGCGGCAGCTTACCAGTCAGGGCGTGCCCTCCTCCACATTCCCTGGTAGGATCAGCCCTCAGTGAGCTCAGGCCCTCAGAGCACCAAAAGGAAATATTTTTCATGTGATGTGTTTGGAAACTGTTTCTCAAGGGCAGAGGCACACCGAGCCTTCGAAGGCCACAAACCTAACAGTGTTGCAGACACTTTGGAAGCCAAAGACGCTTTTCCAGTTCCCGAGGCTACGTGACAAGGCTGCCAGGGTCCCCAAGGTGGTTCGAAGATTCTCCCCTTCCCGTCTCTTTTCTTTCGGTTTCTTCTCCCATCCGATCCCTTTATTCCCCAACCGTGACAGCCTGGCCTCCCCTGAAAGCCTCCCTCCAGCTGTGAACTTGAGGGGAGGTGCAGAACCCGTGTCCTCGGGCAGCAGAAGTCTCAGTGGCCCAGGGTCCTTCAGATCTTTGGGGGGGGCCACTGGCTTTTTCTGTTCTGTTCACAGTGCGCATGACCCCCTCCGCACCGGGACACGAATACCCACGCGGTCAGGGGCCCCGCGAGGAGAAGACAGGAGAGACGTCCTGTCTCCAACTCGCTCCCAGACCCCCGGCTCTGCTGCCCGCCTCCCCACACCGGCAGTAGCCCCTTGCTCCCGTCCCGCCACCATCCAAGACCCGGCTGGAGACCACCCTGACCTGTCCCATGGCAAACGCAGCCAACGCTCTAGGACCGCACTGGCCAGTCCAGGCGCCCGCGCGCAGCCCGAGCACCTGAAACGTAGCTAGTGGGAACGGGGATTCCAGAAGTGTAGACTACACAGCGGATTTGGGATACTCAGCAGAAAAAGAGAATGTAAAATGTCTTGTTAATAATGTTTCTGGAATGATACTATTTTTTTTTTTTTAAGATTTTATTTATTTATTTGAGACAGAGAATGAGAGACAGAGAGCATGAGAGGGAGGAGGGTCAGAGGGAGAAGCAGACTCCCTGCTGAGCAGGGAGCCCGATGCGGGACTCGATCCCGGGACTCCAGGATCATGACCTGAGCCGAAGGCAGTCGCTTAACCAACTGAGCCACCCAGGCGCCCCATGATACTATTTTTTAAAAAAGATTTTATTTATTTGAGAGAGAGAATGAGAGAGAGAGAGCAGGAGAGGGGGGAGGGTCAGAGGGAGAAGCAGACTCCCTGCTGAGCAGGGAGCCCGATGTGGGACTCGATCCAGGGACTCCAGGATCATGACCTGAGCCGAAGGCAGACGCTTAACCAACTGAGCCACCCAGGCGCCCTGGAAGGATACTATTTTTGATATATTGGGTTAAATAAAATGTATTCAAATTAACTTCACTGTTTCTTTTTACTCTGATTCAGTGTGGCTACTGGGAAACTTAAAATGACCCGCGTGGTCTGCATTTCACAGGACAAGGCTACTCTAGAAACTCTGGAAGGAGCTCCACTATGTTCCAAGGGTCAGGAAAGGTCCTGAAGGGGAGAGTGGAGGGGAGGATTTCCCCAGAGAAGGAGAGGAGAGCTATTTTTGGGTGGGGAAGCCATCCCCGGCAGAGCGGCCGGGCTGGGGCCGCAGGACGTCACCTGGAGTGTGTCAGGTGCCTCGGGGGCGCACGACCCGGGAAGCCGCGACGTGATCCCTCTCCACGCCCTCAGCCCTCCGGTAGGAGGGGGACCTGGTTTGCCCTGCAAGTCTCCGGTTCAGACCGCGGCCCGCGCAGCGGCATTTTTGCACCTGGCAGAAGGTCCAAGAGCAACAGCTCCTGTTTCAGGGCCGAGGCCTTACTGTCCGTTCAGTTGTCTCAAAAATCCTCCCCGGCTGGTTTAATTCCCACCCGGGTTTCACAAACAAGGAAGCGGAGCTTAACAGCGCGCAGGAGGTGACGCCAGGTCAGAGAAGCAGAAACCGGGACGGCCCCCGCGTCCCCGCCTCTGTCCTCTGCGCCACCGCCTCGGCCGGGACCCGCCCCGGCCCGCCGGCCCAGCCCCGCTTTCCTGGACCCCGCAGGCTGCTCCGTATCCAGCAGGTACAGCCCCGGGGCCCTGCCCAGCACCCCGCCCTGGGCCCCAGGCTGTGGAATGTCCGCGAAGCATCCAAGAGCCTGCCCTCCAAGTTCCCGGCGGGCTGGGGCCGCGCGGCTTGGGTGGGGCGAGACGGTCCTCGGAGGCGCTGGCTCCCCCCTGCGCCCTCCCCCTGCCTTCTCCGCTCCGCTCCGGCTCTGCTCCCCGCGGGGCCCCGGGGGCCTCTGCCTCGGGCCCAGCCCTCTGTTTTCTGTTTCACCCTGGCAGGTTCCAGCTGGCATTTAGACCTTATAAATAGCCGCAGCTAGGGTGTGACTCGGGTGGAGACCTGGAGCTGGTACTCCACCCCGAAGCGGGGAAAAAAGCTTCTTTAATTCATTTCTGCACTTGGAAGCCTCTCCCGGTTTCGAAGGCCAATTAGGCGGCAGCTGCCGGGGTTTTTCCTCCCCGCATCCCAGCAGGGCCAGCTGGTTCTCGGCGCCCGTGGCCTTCAGCTCTTCCAGGAGGTTGGGTGGGGCGGGCGGGGTCGGGCCCCAGGGCTCTGAAGCGGCCTGGCTGAGTCCGGCTGACTTTGGGCGAGAGCCTGTGCGTTCGGGCTGGGCCAGGCTCCTCGGAGCGCCCAGCCCTTGTCGGTTTCTTCCCGGAGGCAGGAATCTGGGCCAAGAGGAAGGTTTCCCTGAGAGAGGGAGATGGAAGCCCCCAAAGTGGTACCCTAACCAGATACCGCCCCCACCCCCACCCGGGAGGGTTCTAGGCCTCTTGTCTCCTGGAGAATGTGCGTCTCTGCACCGCGCATCTGGTATCCACCCGGTGCGGCCTTGTAGTTTGTATAGGCTCTCAGGAGCTGGGTCCTCAGGGCAGCGGGGATTGCGGTGAGGGCGCAGAGTTCCTGGGAGGGCGGCCTGGTTCAACGCATGGAAAGCACTGGGCACAGCGCCTGGCACACTGCGAGGGCTCCCAGATGCTCTCACCAGCTTCCGCACTAGGTTGAGATGGAGAGCCAGATAATGCTCAAAGAACAGTTCCTGAAGCCTCCAAAGCAACTTCTAGGAAGACCAAAAATAAACTGGAGGGTTTCCAGTCATCAGCCAAATGTTAATATCTTAAGTGATTTTGAAAAATGGAAGCATTAGATAATAAAATGTAAAATGTATATTAATATGGAATTTTTTAAAAAAGCATTGCAAGATAAAATAATGACAAGAAAGCAAAGCGAGTGGGTATGTCAGCAGACAAAAATGTGAAACACCCCAGCACTCATCCTCCAGAGATCATTGTCATTGTGAAAACTCCTTGATGTGTGACCTTTTGGCTCCTTTTCTATACATATATTAATTTGCTTGCGTGCGTCTGGGCAGGCAGGGGATGAAGCTCTGATGTAGTTAGTGAAAGAAGCTCTTCGGATATCTGTGGATATGCTTGGGGCTTGTGTGACGGAAAGGGGAGAGATGGACCTGGGGTGTGCAGGGGGTCCCACAGACAGAAAAGGGGTGACAAGGCAGGGATGTTATGGCCTTTATCCTCCACCCTCCTTGGAACCGGGCTCGAGTTTTCTCCACGGAGATGGGCAAGGACCATAGTCTACAGGAAATGTGTTCATGAAAGACTTTGTGAGACTCTGGGCATAGGCCTCGGCACCCAAATGACAAGCTGTGACACAGAGTTGGGGGACAGTCTTGGCACTGTCAGGAGTGGGAGGTTTTGTTAAGGGTCTGTTGGGTGGCCTCCAACAACGATGACTTACTGCAGAAAAAGCCAATGGAGAACTCTGTGTGGTTCCTGGGGCCAAGACACCCACACCCCTTCACAATTGCCTGGAAATAATGGGAAGATTTCAAAGGGAGGCTCAGGTCCTTCGGTCTGGCAAGGGGAGCTCAGAGTCGTTGGAAGCTGGGCATAAATGTGAATATGATGTCATTATTAAATAATATTGAATCATTTGTATCACCTCATTAGTAGCTCTTGCATGGTTAATTAGGATGAAAACGTATTGTTGATTATTTTATTCAAGTATAATTAACATACACTGTTATATTAGTTTCAGGTGTACATCATTAATTCAACAATTTTATACCTCACTCAGTGCTCATTATGATAAGTGTACTCTTTAATCCCCTTCACCTATTTCCCTCATCCCCTGACCTGCCTCCCCTCTGGCAACTACCAGTTTGTTCTCTATGGTGAAGAGTCTGGGTTTTTTTATTTCCACAGAGTCTATTCCAATGTCTGTTGAACAAGAGTAAGAAGATAAGATTCAAAGCAATTCCCCAGTATTCTTCAGATTCTATCAGCTGTGAGACACGACCAGGTGTTCGAAGATGGTTGGCTGCCTTTCATTCCTCTGAACTCCATCCTTCCTTGGCATGATGGAGAAGGAAGAGGAACTCAAGACCCACCTGGTGCAGCATCTTACATCTAATGAGGTACCCAACTGAGCGAACAATTTGAACTTAACACATCCCACGTTGCAAGAGTGGGCCAAGACACGTGGCACCTGGGACTACAGCTTTGCCTCCCCCAGGAGCTAGAAATCTGGTGCTCAGGAGAACGTCAGGCGTGGGCCAGGCCCCTGGGAAGAAGCACACCCTCCTATATAATGAAAAGGCCACAGTCCCGACTTCACTCTCATCCCCATGTCTAAAGAGTAGGTGCAACAGAGGAGGAAAACCTACCTACGGAAGCATCAGCCCTTTCTACGTGATAATAGTGTCTTGCAGGGTGCCTTGGGGGAGCCCCACTGTACAGAATATTCCTTTTGTACATGGTGCCTGTGGGTCACGTTCCTTAGGGAATATCAGGTGAGAGAAAGCCTGGTGGCTGGCGGGTCTTGGGACCACTATGACCTGGGAAAGCCTTTGGGGGCCAAACCTCTTGTTCTCTCTTCAATGGGAAGTTCCCTTCCCGAACTAGAAGAGTATCATCGTCTCCCCAGAACACCATTTAACTTCCTCTTCTTCAGAGATGAAGTCTTTATTATCAGATGTCAAGATGTTTTGTACTCAGGCATCAACGTCACATCTCAGAGAGACAGTATTTTATAACCTGAAGACAGAGAAGAGCATGGAATAGCTGCACATACAGACAGTTGATTTCATTCATGAATTCCTTTTTGCCTTCAATGAGTGCCTGGAGAAATCCTTCTAAGTCCGCTGTTGTCACTGGGACCACCTTGTTCAAGCCAACATGCTCTCTGGGTTGGACCAGTGCAATAGTTTCATAGTTCTATTTGCTTCTGTTCTTTTTTTTTTTTTTTAATATTTTTACAAGTTTATTAATTAATTTATTTTTGAGTAATCTCTACACCCAACGTGGGGCTCGAACTCATGACCCCGAGATCAAGAGTTGCATGCTCCACTGACTGAGCCAGCCGGGTGCCCCTATTTGCTTCCATTCTTGACTTTCTCCAGCCATTCTCATCAAAGTGATCTTTAAAATAAAATAAAGAGGCGGGGCACCTGGGTGGGTGTGTTTGGTTAAGTGTCTGACTCTTGGTTTCAGCTCAGGTCGTGATCTCACGGTGGTGATCTCATGGTTGTGAGGTCCAGCCCCTTGTTGGGTTCGGTGCTCAGGCAGAGTCCACTTGAGATTCTCTCCGTCTCCCTCTGCCCCTCCTGCTCATGCTGTCTCTCTCTCTTTCTCACTCTCTCTCTCTAAAACAAATAAATCTTTTAAAAATGTTTTTTTGAAGGGGGCATCTGGGTGGCTCATTTGGTTGGGCATCCGACTATTGATTTCAGCTCAGGTCATGATCTCAGGGTCAGGAGATTGAGTCCCACATCATGCCTCAGTTTGGGCTTTGAGCTCCTTGGGAATCTGCTTGAGATTCTTTCCCTCTCCTCATCCCCTGACTGCACACACACACACTCTCTCTCTCTCAAATAAATAAATAAATCTTTAAAAAAATAAAAAAAAAATACAACTTTAATCTTGCCCTTCTGGATCTCAGCTGGAAAGTCATTGACTGGCTATTTCCCTTCTATCCATTGTTTGCCAATGAGGACTAAACCACTCAAGACCCTGCAAACCGTGGTTACTGCCTGCTCCCAGGGTCAGCTCCTCCTCCCGTCTGAGCTGCAGTGACCCTGGCTGTCTTTCAGATCCTCAAATCTGCATGAGCCTCCCCTCCTGCTCCAGAGCCTTTGCCTGGACTCTTCCCCTCCCTTTCCCCCTTCACCTAAAATTAACTCCTTTACTTCAGATCTCAGCTCAAACCTCACTTCCTCAAAAAGCCGTTCACAGCTTCCAGGCTTGAACAACTTCCTTGAAATACGTTCTCTTAACACTTGGTAATGTCCCTTCATATCACTTATCAGAGCGAGTGCCTGTATGTGTTTCTGGGTGGTTACTTGATTTTGACCAGCATTAGTCTGTGTCCCCAGGGGATTATAATTGCCTGAGAATCGGGACTGTGCCTGCTTGGTCTCTATCATATTCTCCGTGCCTAGCACAGAGCCCAACACAAAAGTGCCCAGTGATACCTGCCAGATATGTAGGCTTGGCTTCCGGGAGTTTGTCATCAGATAGGACAGAAAAAGATCCCAACTTATTCTCCAAAGCCCTCTTCAAATGTCCTCTTCATTATGATGTTCCCTGTCCGTTCCCCTTTCCTCCCCTCTACCCTGGGCAAAATACAGCTCTTCCAGCACGTGCCCCAGCCTGCTCTGTGCTCCTTACTGATCCCTCCGTGGGCTTTTAGAGGAAGACTGGTCTGACCTCACCTATACTTTCAGCTGGGCACCTCCACCTGGATACCTGTATCTGTGTCTTAGGGCCGCTGTAACGAAGTACCAGGAACTGCTTAAAACAGCAGAAGTTTATTTTCTCACAGTTCTGGAGGCCAGAAGTCAAAAATCAAGGTGTTGGCAGGGCCATGCTCCTTGTGAAACATACAGAGGAGAATCCTTCCTTGCCCCTTCTAGATTCTGATGTTTGGTATTTCTTGGCTTGTAGATGCATCGCTCCAATCTCTGCCTCCGTTGTCACATAGCTGTCTTCTTATAAGGACACCAGTCACATTAGATTAAGGGTCCAATCTACTCCAGAGGACCTCATCCTAATCTTAACTAATTAGATCTGCAGCTACCTTATTTCTAAATAAGGTCACATTCTGAGCTCTTGGGGGTTTTAACTTGGACGTATCTTTTTGAGGGATACAATTCAACTTGTAACAAGCACATTAGGTAACTCACACTCAGGTCCCAAATTGCCCTCAGCGTCTTTTCCCCAAGCCTACTCATCCTCCTGTATTCCCTATCTTAATTGGTGCCACTTAATTAGTGGCATCTAGAGCAGAAGAGAAAGTCATCTTATTTTTCTCCTTCTTCCATATCTGATTAGTCATGAAGTTCTACTGACTGTCTCTTTAACCTTTCTCGTATTCATCCCCAACGACCCTATTTTAGTTCCTCCATCATCTTTAACCTGGACAATTGTAGGAATCAAACCGGTCTTTCCATCTCCTATTTCAATCCCTTTCTAATTCATGCCCTATGCTGCTGCACGAGGAATGCACTTAAAAGACAAATATGCATAGCCTGGGCCACTCAGTGGGTTAAGCGTCTGCCTTGGGCTCAGGTCATGGTCCCAGGGTCCTGGGATGGAGCTCCCTGTCAGGCTCCCTGCTTAGCAGGGACCCCCTCTCCTTCTCTCTTGCTCGAGCTCTCTCTTTCTATCTCAAATAAATAAATAAAATCTTTTAAAAAAATAAAACACAAAAATGACCACCATACTATGTTTAAAACTCTTCAAAAGCTTTGCTTTGCACATACAGTGGTCCAGACTCCTATGCACGGCACAGAAGCTTCCATCATCTTATCCTGACCTTTCTTAACTTTTGCTATTGCCTCTCCGCACTGTCTTCTCTAATCACTTTGAACTATTCTGTTTCCTAAGCTGAGGAAATGGTTTCATGCCTTTGTGCTTGTAGCAGAGACCTTGACTGTATTCATGGAATAGCCACGTGTTCCTGTACATTTCACCACCTGGTGAACTATATGGGATTAGTTCTAGACAACGCAGTGGGAGTGGAAATTATATCTATCACCTCCGCGCTGAGGAATTTACCCTCCGTGTGTTACCTGACAGCTTCTGGTGCCCTTTAGTGCCAACTTGGAAGCCACATGTTCCGGGTGGTCCAGCTGTAAGAGCGTATGGACGCCGCTAGCTTCGGTCCTCAGGGGACCGCGTAGAGCAGAGCCTTGCCTATCACTCCTCCTATCCACCCCCTGACCAGCCGACCTGCACTGGACCTGTGCTTCGAGTGAAAGATGAATCTTAGTGGTATTTAGCTGCTAAGACTTCAGGGTCATTTTGTTACTGTGGCATAACTAAGGCTAGCCCGACTCACGCGGTGCCTCTGTCCAAGCCGTTCCCTCTGCCCGCGCCACCGCCCCCCTCTCCCCGCTTCAGCCGCCTGGCAAAGTCTTAACTGATCCTTCTAGCCCCATGCTCTTCTAGTCTGTGAAACTGATCCGACCCATTGCCAAGCAGAGTTAGTGACTCCGTCCTGTGCTCCCACGGAACCTGGTAGATCATGCCAACATTGTCCTTATCACCTGTTAACGACAATAATTTAGAATCCTGCGAATCATGAAAATAGTAGAAGGCGCGTGCCTCGGGGGGCAGGGAGCGTGTGTTGTTCAGCTATCACGTTTGTACCTCCAGCACCCCCACAGGGTGATTGGCGTCAAGGGGGTACCCAATCCAGTAAATGATGAATGAATGAATGAACTGACTACATGTAATCTGTCAGTGATGGGGAAGGCCTTAAGGAACATGAAAACACTGTGTGGGACTCCGTGGCTTGGAGGCATCAGCAGTCGGTGGCTGCGATCTTGAGCTCATGCAGTGTTCACAGTCGCGGCGGCGCATACAGGATACCTCCCCGAGGCTTCGCTAAGTGAAAGGCTTACAGAAGATAAAACTCTCATGTGTGCAATCAGGAAGATGAAGATTAAAAGGAGGTCCAAAAATTACTTTTAACTCAGGAGTGGGTGCACTAGAGTGGAATAAAAGTGGGTCTTATTAGCAGAAAGTGATGATTTAGGCAATAACATTACACGTGGGTGACATCGCCAGAACGACTGTAAAATTAAAATCGTATATATCTGGCTCACTGGAAAAGCACGAAACAGGGATTGTGAACAAAATGCAACTCTCTCTCTCTTCATCTGTCTATTATCGCTCTGTCCCTGAGAGCAGTAGGGGCCAATCCCCACGTTTTGTGGGGCCCCTCTTGGTCTCCTTAAATTTTAGTTGATGGCAGCAGAATCCCTCTTCCTCTGATGCTGACTTGGGCAAGCCGATGAACTTACTGTCATGTTCAGACAACACAAAAATCCTTTGAGTTGCAAAAAAGTAGCCTCATTTCAGACCTTAACATTCCAAGTCCCAGGTAATAGTTAAAATCCTGAAACTGATTTTGCCTGAAATCTTTTCTTCTCCCTTGGCTCAAACCTGCCTCATCCTGGAAGCCTGCCCTGGGAAAGGGGGCATGGTCCTTTTCCTCGCCTCTCCCTCCACTCACCTCCTCCCCCTTACTAGCTGCTCTTTCCCTCCATGCTTGGAATGAAGCCCAGAAAGGGGAGAGGTAAGGGAATAAGAGAATTCTCACGTGGCTGGGTGGCCCAAGCCCTTTGGGCCGGCAGCTGGCCTCTGTGGGGTGGCCTGGCAGATGATTAAAGCTGGCTCTGTCACGGACTCTGCAACGGCCTCCAGCTGCCCCCCCGCCCCCCCCCCCCCCCCCGCCCCGTCTCCTGTGGTTCCCTTGACCCAGGCTGAAGGTCTCTATCCCTCTGGGTGGTCTCATGTGACTCCTTCTCCAGCTCCTGGGATTCTGGGGGTATAATGGCCAGCCCCTTTCTGCTGAGGTCTTCTGTTCATGCCTACAGGCCCCCACACCACCTCACACTGCCCCACACCTGCTCCCTTTCCCACAGGGCCCACATCTGGTCTTGGAACATTCCCCTGGCTTTGCCACCAAAGTCGTACCCACGGCTAGCACTGAAATGTCTCTTACACTGTTCCAGCACTGTGCTACGGACTTGATGTGTGTTATTGCAGTTAATGCTCATAACCACCTACGAAGCAGGTAAATCTGGCAGGCCATATCCGTGAGTGTTTATTTAAAAACTTCTGCCTTAAGGTCTATTGTCACAAAACACTGCAGGCCCATTTCATCTGTCACTGGTTTTGATTACAGACAGGAATTGGGAGATTGAGGCTCTAGCTTAGCTTGACCATAAACTCACAATGAGTCTTAGGGCGAGTCAGCAATCTCCCAGTTTCCTTCTCACCCTAAAATTCTGGGACTTAAGAAATAATTCTAGAATA